AATGAGTTAATATCTCAGAATTACGAGAGAATTTTTCATGGAAAAAAAGTTTTTGCTCTGTTTTCATGAATTAACGAGTTAATTATCTCAGAATTACAAGATAATTTTTCATGGAAAAAAGTTTTTGCTCTGTTTTTCTGAATTAACGAGTTAATATCTCAGAATTACGAGATCATTTTTAATGAAAAAAGTTTTTGCTCTTTTTCTGAATTAATGCCTTAATTATCTCAAAATTATGAGTAACTCATTAATTCATAATAACAAAATGAAAGTGAAAAAAATGTTTTTCAATAAAAATCTATCATAATTCTGAGGTAATTAACTCGTTAATTCAGAAAAACAGAGCAAAAACTTTTTTTCATGAAAAATATCTCGTAATTCTGAGATATTAACTCATTAATTCAGAAAAACAGAGTAGATTTTTTTCCTCAAGTGAATGCAATACGCTTCCGTAATTATCTGACTCATGTTGACTTGAAAACCTGCAAATCAACATACTAATCATCAGAATAGTGCATATGATGCATTCTGCTATATTTATGATGAACTCATTGTGAGTTCATGAACAGCATTTGTAATTATCTAGTTGCATTATTAGTATGCTTTAAAAAAACAATACATCATAAAGCCTTCTTCCAAAATGTTTTTTTGTCATACCCTGATTCATAAGCCTATCATAAGTGTTTATTTTAGATCTGCCGCAGTGGCTTTCACAGGAATATTGCGTACATCCATCACTCGCCCGTGTAGAGAAGTGTGTGTGTGTGTGTGTGTGTTACAGTATTTATTAATCTTTGTTAATAATTAATAAAAGTACAGCTGTCCATTGTTAGTTTGTCAACCAAAGTCCATTAAATCATATTAACAGATATAATTAATAATATTAGTTGAATGTCAAAATTAACATTAACTAAGATTATTAATTGCTTTAGTATTTGTCCATGTTAGTTTAACTAGTTAACGAATGTAAACAAAAATGCAAAATAAGGTTAATGTTATAAACCAACTAAGATTAAAACATGCTTTAGCAATATTTGTCTTTGTTAGTTCATCTAACTGTTAATAAGTGAAATATTATTATAAAGTGTTAAATTTTTTTTTAATGCAGTTCAAGTATCTTCAATAAAATGAAATAAAACGTGATCAGATCAGCCATATTCTAATATTAAACAACAATATCGAAACGTTGCCATAAAAGCACACATGAATAATTTCTAATGATTAGCATTGGATATGCCATTGTTCTGCTAGTAGATTAGTTTAAAGCTTCTGAAAGCACACCGAATGCTGCAAATGTCCAATCACAATCAATTATTCCAGAGAGATGGGCGATATTAATGTGATTATCGTTTACTATGCTGTATGATATACATACTATACTATGCTATAAGGCAAACTTGATCTTTGGATTGTATAGCTGTCTAATAGTTTTATTATAGAAAACAAACGCATCGGAGCTGATGAACACACACACACACACACATATGTTAATGAGTGACGTGCAGAGATCTTTTGCTAGTGAAATGACTTGTGGAGGAGGATTCGCTGTTGACAGAGGAACACACACTCGATCGGCGTGTGTGACTGGATATTCACTCCTTACTGAAGTTCATTAACACCTGTAAACTCTGTAATGCATGGTTGCAATTCATCGATTTAATCAACATTATTCTGTTGACATAATAATGTTGATCATTACATCGCTCAGACCTGTTCGTGTTTATTTAATGCTCTTAGGTTTGATGTTTTCATGAGTTTCTGTAATGTTTTAGTTTTTGTAGAATAGTGCTGAATCTCATTCATTAAAGTCCCTCCTGTAGTCAATACTTTTATCCCTTAAAACTCATCTTTGATCACCAAAATGACATATATAAATTCACCATGTCTTAAAATATCTTGAATGTAACTCGACACCCTCACCTCATTTAGTATGAGCGGTTCTATGAATATGCAAATGAGCCCCGCCTCCACTCACTCCCTCAGCTCAGAGATCCACTGGTTGGCGATCACACGTTGATCTGATTGGTTACAAGGTCGTTTGTGACGTCAGAAACACCAGCGATTTCAAACCGTGTTTTTGAGACTGTCTTTGGTTCACTGCAGTTTTAAGGAGGAAATACTCAGCAATGCTGTCGACTTATGAACTTACACATGGTTTGCACGAGGGTGTAGAGTTACATTCAAGCTATTTTAAGGCATAATAAAAGGAAAAAACATTTGTCATTTTGGTGATCAAAGATGAGTTTTAAGGGATACAATTATTGACTACAGAAGGACTTTAAGATTTTTTTTTTTTTTTAAGTTGTAAAGGCCACTTGATTGGTCATGAAAGCTTGTTTCTGCCACGGAATACAAAAATAATTCAGTAAAAATTGTCAAAATTGTGAAGTTTATATCTCGCGATTTTGACTTTTTTTCTTCCAATTTTGAGTTTAAGAAGTTTATTCCTCATTGATAAATGGCAAACAGCTAAATCGTAAAACTTTAAATAGACGTTTTAGATGTTTGTATAAAATATAATATGCACAGCTACTTTTAAATCATTGTTAATTGCGAGAAAAAAAGCTTTTTTTGACAGTTGTCACTGGACCCTGCTCACCAGCCAAACCTTAACCTCCCAGAATGCAGTGCGCGGCATTACTTTCATTTTCCAGTGTGTTTTGAACATCACATGTGTGTTGCTACAAACCAACTATACAGATTTAGTAGGTTAAGTTTCACGTCTGGAATGAGCCATTCATTTAGTCGTCAACAAGCCGTCTGGTTCACTCTTGGACCCGCCTCTTCATCATCATCTTCATCACCTGCGTGTCGGTGCAGATCTCCAGCTGACAGGTTTGCACATCAAGGGCGTGTCGCAAATCTACAGTGGTCCTGAAATTCTCCATGAGTCGACTAGACTTCCTTTAGTTGTCTGGAAGAGGGATTCAGACTGATGAAATAATCCAAACACGATCCTGTCTGCTTACGTTTTTAACCCTAAAGCTACTGTTTTATGCATGATGACACACATTTCTGTGGCCATTAACGATCAACTTTGCTGATAAACCTGTCGCACACAATCTTCTACATGCTTCTGTCGTCTGATTCATAGTTTAGGCTTTTGGGGAAGGTTTATTTGTTCAACTCTGTCATTTGATCATAAAACTAAGCATTTAAATATCATCTTACTAAGACATTAATGACAGTTATTGATATTTATATGCATTTTATGTTAGTAGTCGCTATACTGTTATATCAGTAGGCTATCATATAAATATCAGCATCTTCACCAAATTGCATATTTTATTATTTATTTATTTTTTACCTTTAGCCTATTTTACCTTTATTGAACTCATTTGCAACCGCGACCTGGCCAAGACAAGGCTAAAAGTGCAAGGCAAAATAAAATTACACGTTGTGGACAACATTCAAATATATAATCACACATAAAAATGTTCAGGTTCAATTAAGATGCTGAACATAAAGTACAAAAATGAGGGTAAATTAAAAATAATAAATGAGAACACACGCAGTATAGCTGGAGGATAGATAACCTGAGACAACATGACTAACATTTTTTTATTTTGTTCTGTTTGGCTGTTTTTTTCCTCCATATTCTCACTATATCATACGATTTAAGTTTATATTTCTGACCCCATCGGCAGATATTTTTGTTGTGAGGATACTGCTTTTTCTAATATCTTTGACAGAAAAGGCAGATTTGAGATCGGCCTGTAATTGACTAATTTTGTATGATCAAGTTGCGTTTTTTTAACAAGCGGTTTTATCATAGCCAGCTTAAAGGTTTTTGGTACGTATCCTTTGGTACGTAAACCCGTTTTCAGACGCCCAAAACGCCGTTGTCGTGTAAACGAACGGCCAAAACTCATAAGTTTTACATTTTTAGTTGAAAACGGTGTCGTGTAAACAACCCCTTCGTCTCACACTTCTGCCAATGTGGATCAATGATGTTGATGACATCACTCTGCACTTCAGCTTCTGTCCAATCAAATGCTCTCTAGAATCTGAAGCTCCGCCCCCTTCATTAAAAACCGAGCCTGAAGCTGCGGCTGAAATCAGTCGCTTGTTCACACATTTACTGTTGTCTACATGGTGAATGAATGGCACATAGTGCACTATATAGGGGATGGGGAACGATTCAGACTGTTTCCATTGAGCGAATGAAGTCTGGTTTCTTAGAGCGGATCACATGATCGAGTCGACGCAGACCAGAAAAATTGGATCCATTTGAATTCTACACAAATTACTGTATTTTAAAGCAATATGGAGGCGATTATGAGGAAAAGCGGTCAGAGATTAGCAGTGAACTTTACTGAGCTCAACAGCCCAGGCCGAGCTGTGATACAAACCAAACGCTATTGGCCGTTTTAAAAAGGGGGAGGAGCTGTTTTATAGGCCCCGCCCTGTCATCTTGTTTCAGTGTAAATTACATCAACACCCTGAATAACCACTTCAATGGGTCTGAGGATGGTTTCTGATTGGAACCATTTCTGATGTTTATAATGGTCATCAGCTGAGGAAAAATCGTTTCCCCTAAAGCATCGTTAGCCAACAATGGATGCAAGTTCCGTTGAATAATATTCAATATTATTTAGATTCAACGATATTATTGATCTGCCTGCATTGCATTATATGAGAACTGAACTGAGCTGGACGATGACATCACACTTTTCTCCAGAGAGGATATATATATATATATATATATATATATATATATATATATATATATATAAAAATGAAACATCACTGAACTTAAATAAACTGGATTATGATGCTACTTTCTTCTAGAAACAAACTTTGTTGCATTATTTTCCTGTTATCTCTGTAAAGCTGCTTTGAAACACCCTGTATTGTAAATATATTAGTTACTTCCTTAAATTTAGTACAATCAACTTTAAGTCTTAAATTACATTAAAAAATTAGTTGACTTGTATAACTTATAAAAACAGTTGTAAATTGCTTAACTTGTTTTGCTGAGTTGAAGCAATGTAAAAACAAACACGTTGTCAAAACTCAAAATTGATTTCCGAAACGACTTCGTTATCACTTATCACTGTCTCGTTATCTTTATAGTGGTGTGCTTTTAGAGTCGTATCTTTATTGTCTTTGGTGTGAACGGGCCATTTAGAGTGACTTTTACTCGGAAGTGAGTAAACTGGTGTAGATCTGACCAACATGAAGAGAAGAGCAGAGTGTGTCGGTGACTCAGATCGGAGAGACGCTCCCAAAACCTGCGAACATGCAGCGGCACGCAGACCTACATGCTGATAGGAGAAACTGTGTGTGTGTGTGTGTGTGTGTGTGAGAGAGAGAAGATCTTCACGAGCGTTACGGCGATCCTCAGCTCCAGGTAAGACCGATTCAACGCGCTTTCTTGATTCTCTCTCTCTCTGTCTCTGTCTGGTCTAAGTTAAGATCTCTGGATGGTGTTGGACTTTGTTGCATGCCAGAAGACAGTAATCGTGAGGTTATAGAGGAGAAGAGTTGTGGAGAACGAGCTCTGAGATCATGTGTTTGAGGAGAACGGTGAGCGGCTTCGTCTTCGTCTTTCCGGTTCTTACATTCACTTCCAATCCTGAAGGATCACACTGCAAAAACGCGTGTTCTTCCTCAGCATTTTACTCTTGTTTTCCATATGCAAATATCTAGATATTCGTACATCAAGATGCATTTAGGCTACTGGAGAAGCAAAAGGACTGCCTGAACATAGTATTGAAGACAAGTTTGATTTATTAAGCGAGGTTATGCTTAAAACACACTGGAGAAAAAGTAGCCTAGTATTTACTTAGTTTTAATTTCGCAAGTTTTTGCACTGAGATTTTTTTAAGTAAATTACAAATGGAAGTAAGTAAACTCTGCTTAACTAAGTTGAGTAAAATTAACAAAGAAAATAAGTAATCAACCTTATTAAGAATGCCCCAGTGCATGATGGGAACAGCAGTATCAGAAAAGGTCAGTAGGTTTTACTTAATTTAATAATGTTGATAGTTATGCTTTAATTTATGCAAGCTTAAATGAGTGCTAATATAGAATTTACTTTTTTTTTTATTGTTGCCTGAACTAACCTTTTCATGTAGAAATTAATATGGAGAACAATATTATTTGTCTTCCCTCAGGGGCAGATATTTGTTTCAAAAGTGCTTTAATTTATCTTACTTAATCAGTCTGGGTCATATTTCACCTCAAAAACAAAATAAATACATAACTGGTCACATTTTACAATAAGTGGCCTGTTGCATCAACTGTTTAGACTCCTCTTACAAGTTAGCCATATATATATATATATATATATATATATATATATATATATATATATATATTTTTATTTTTTATTTTTTTTTGAAAGTCAGAATTGCTATAAAAAGTCAGAATTTCGATTAAAAAAAAAGGTCAGAATTGCAATTTAAAAACCTAAGGTGAATTTTAAACCTTCTTTTCATAACTTGATAACTTGCATACAAACACAGATTATTATCATGTGGAGGAATTGTTGTGAGGATATAAACTTGCAATTGCGAGATAAAAAGTCAGAATTGCGAATAAAATTCAGAATTGCAATTTAAAAAGTCAGAAATGCAATTTAAAAAAATTCAGAATTGTTATTCAGTGGCGGAAACAAGCGTCCACACAATTGTAAGCATTATTTAGTGCTGTATGCATTTATGATATACAAGACATTAATTGATTTTCAGTAATGAGAATTGTTATATTATTTTTATAGAAGGACAAAAACTCAAGTAAAATAAAAATACTGAAATAATTGTATATGCATAAATGCAATGCATAAATGGAAATGGTCCTAAAAGACTGAATTTTCTTGCAATATATAATTTATTTTTCTTTTCTTTCGATCCTGAGGTAACCTGGATGTTTTAATGAGATTAGAATGAATAAAGTTGAGCTGTAATCATTTCTGTGGTGTGTGTCTCGATCCGGTTGCACAAACCCAATGCGAATAATGCATAATGATGTAGTGGTTTTGTTAAGGCTGATCTTTTACTTGTCTAAACAGAGCATGACATTCCTGGACATGGATTTGGCATGAACTTGATGGCTTGATGAAGAGAGGAAAACGTAAGGTGAATTTTAAACCTTCTGTTCATAACTTTATAACTTAACCTATATTGGATGTAACTTGCATAAAAACCCAGATTATTTTACACATATGGAGTAATTGAAGTGCATCTGCAATGCATCTTAAAATCTCTGATTGTTGACAATTAATTCACAATTATGAGAAATATGTTAATATTATGTCTGAAAAAAAATGCTTGTTATTGAAAATTTACATATTGTCATAAAGTCAAGTGATTTTCAAAAGTCAAATTCTGAAAAAGTCAGAATTGCGAAAAATATAGTCAGAATTGCGAGATATAAACGTAGAATTGCGAAAAATAAAGTCCGAATTGCGAAAAATATAGTCAGAATTGCGACATATAAACTCAGAATTGCGAGAAATAGTCAGAATTGTGAGTTATAAAGTCAGAATTGCGAGATATAAAGTCAGATTTGCGAGATATAAAGTCAGAATTGCGAGATATAAAGTCAGAATTGCGATATAAAGTCAGAATTGTGAGATATAAAGTCAGAATTGCGAGAAATAAAGTCAGAATTGCGAGAAATAAAGTCAGAATTGCGTGATATAAAGTCAGAATTGCGTGAAATAAAGTCAGAATTGCGAGATATAAAGTCAGAATTGGGATATAAAGTCAGAATTGCGAGATATAAAGTCAGAATTGTGTTATAAAGTCAGAATTGCGTGAAATAAAGTCAGAATGCGAGATATAAAGTCAGAATTGCGTGTTATAAAGTCAGAATGCGAGATATAAAGTCAGAATTGCGAGATATAAAGTCAGAATTGCGAGATATAAAGTCAGAGTTGCGTGATATAAAGTCAGAATTGTGTGATATATAGTCAGAATTGCGAGATATAAAGTCAGAATTGCGAGATATAAAGTCAGAATTGCGAGATATAAAGTCAGAATTGCGTGATATAAAGTCAGAATTGCGAGATATAAAGTCAGAATTGCGAGATATAAAGTCAGAATTGCGAGATATAAAGTCAGAATTGCGAGATATAAAGTCAGAATTGCGTGATATAAAGTCAGAATTGCGTGATATAAAGTCAGAATTGCGAGATATAAAGTCAGAATTGCGTGATATAAAGTCAGAATTGTGTGATATATAGTCAGAATTGCGAGATATAAAGTCAGAATTGCGAGATATAAAGTCAGAATTGCCTGATATAAAGTCAGAATTCCGAGATATAAAGTCAGAATTGCGAGATATAAAGTCAGAATTGCGTGAAATAAAGTCAGAATTGCGAGATATAAAGTCAGGATTCCGAGATATAAAGTCAGAATTGCGTGATATAAAGTCAGGATTCCGAGATATAAAGTCAGAATTGCGTGATATAAAGTCAGAATTGCGAGATATAAAGTCAGAATTGCGAGATATAAAGTCAGGATTCCGAGATATAAAGTCAGAATTGCGTGATATAAAGTCAGAATTGCGAGATATAAAGTCAGAATTGTGAGATATAAAGTCAGAATTGCGAGATATAAAGTCAGGATTGCGTGATATAAAGTCAGGATTGCGAGATATAAAGTCAGAATTGTGAAATATAAAGTCAGAATTGTGAGATATAAAGTCAGAATTGCGAGATATAAAGTCAGAATTGCGAGATATAAAGTCAGAATTGCGAGATATAAAGTCAGAATTGCGAGATATAAAGTCAGAATTGCGAGATATAAAGTCAGAATTGAGAGATATAAAGTCAAAATTGCGAGATATAAAGTCAAAATTGCGAGATATAAAGTCAGAATTGCGAGATATAAAGTCAGAATTGCGAGATATAAAGTCAGAATTGCGAGATATAAAGTCAGAATTGCGAGATATAAAGTCAGAATTGCGAGATATAAAGTCAGAATTGTGAGATATAAAGTCAGAATTGCGAGATTTAAAGTCAGAATTGCGAGATATAAAGTCAGAATTGCGAGATATAAAGTCAGAATTGCGAGATATAAAGTCAAAATTTTGAGATATCAAGTCAGAATTGTGAGATATAAAGTCAGAATTGCGAGATATAAAGTCAAAATTGTGAGATATCAAGTCAGAATTGTGAAATATAAAGTCAGGATTGCGAGATATAAAGTCAGAATTGTGAGATATAAAGTCAGAATTGCGAGATATAAAGTCAGAATTGCGAGATATAAAGTCAGAATTGCGAGATATAAAGTCAGAATTGCGAGATATAAAGTCAGAATTGCGAGATATAAAGTCAGAATTGCGTGATATAAAGTCAGAATTGTGAGATATAAAGTCAGAATTGCGAGATATAAAGTCAGAATTGCGAGATATAAAGTCAGAATTGCGTGATATAAAGTCAGAATTGTGAGATTTAAAGTCAGAATTGCGAGATATAAAGTCAGAATTGCGAGATATAAAGTCAGAATTGCGAGATATAAAGTCTGAATTGCGAGATATAAAGTCAGAATTGTGAGATATCAAGTCAGAATTGCGAGATATAAAGTCAAAATTGTGAGATATCAAGTCAGAATTGTGAGATATAAAGTCAAAATTGCGAGATATAAAGTCAGAATTGCGAGATATAAAGTCAAAATTGCGAGATATAAAGTCAAAATTGCGAGATATAAAGTCAGAATTGTGAGATATAAAGTCAGAATTGCGAGAAATAAAGTCAGAATTGCGAGTCAGAATTATGCCTGAAAAAATGCTTCTTGTTATTGCAACTTATATTGCAATAATGCAACATTGCAAATTCAACTAGTCAAGTGATTTTCAAAACTCAAATTCTGCAATTTTAATATATCCATTTAAAAAATCTTATTTTTCCAATGTTGCATCAATATTCTAGGGTTTGATAGAAAATATCCACCCATCTCATGTGTTGTTGGAATGATAACAGTTCAAAATCACATAATGAAATTCTCAACCAGTTTGGTTAGTGTAAATATATCTCTGAGACGAGTTATGGCAGGGCGTATCTCTATGATGTGACGCATCAGTATCTTCACTTGTTTGTATGATTTAGTTTCTGCAACTCTAAATTTACTTGATCGGGAACATTAGATCTCAGTGTGTCATTCTTCAGCGAGAGAGAATCAGAAACACACGTTTGTAGAGGAAAGCAGGGTTGAGTTTGTCTAATAAACCAGGCATGTTATATTATGAATATTGTTGGCTCTTTCACACACTGCTTTTGTTTCTCTTTTTGAAAGTTGCTCTGGATAAAACTATCTGCTAAATGCACAAATGTAAACGAGTTTTTACTGTACATTTCGGCTAATTTGCTTTTTTAAGAATATGGTGAATAATATGACATAAAAATAGATATATTTTAGATATATGATTTTTTTTGTTGCATTTTTTTTTTCTCGCAATTCTGACTTTATATGTCGCAATTGAGTTTATTTCTTGCATTTCCAACTTTATTTCTCGCAATTCTGAGTTCATTTCTCGCAATTCTGTGTTTTTCTCGCAATTACAACTTTATATTTCACAAAACTGACTTTTCCTCGCAATTCTGACCGTATAACTCGAAATTATGACTTTATATTTCACAATTATGACATTATATATCACAATAATACCTTTAACTCACAATTATGACTTTATATCTCGCAATTAAGTTTATTTCTTGCATTTCCTACTTAATTTCTCGCAATTCTGAGTTCATTTCTCACAATTCTTTTTCTCGCAATTACGACTTTATATTTCACAATTCTGACTATTCCTTCGAATTCTGACCTTATAACTCGTAATTATGACTTTATATCTCACAATTATGACATTATATATCACAATAATGCCTTTATAACTCGCAATTATGACTTCATATCTTACAATTCCAACTTTTCCTCGCAATTATGAGTTTATAACTTGCAATTTTATTTCTTGAGATTTGAGTTGATATCTCATAATTCAGACTTTTTTTCTCAGTTGCAAGTTTTTATCACAGTTCTGAGGAATAAGACGCAGTTTAGACTTTATTCCCAGAATTGCCAGATATACACTCGCAATTTCTAGAAAAAAAAGTAATTATGAGAAAAAAAGTTGCAATTTTTTTTTAATCCACGCCAAAAACAAGCTTCCATAATTTAATCTAAATGAGAATTTCAACCCAGAAATCTCAATGCCCAATAATTATAAACGACACAAGCTTTGCACATACTGTTTCTCAACCCTGTTATAAAGGATATGACTTGTTAAATAATATTGACTTCCTGATTTCTTGCACAATTTGAGTAAACATGGCAAAAATGGGTGTTCCCAATCCCAGCCTGTCTAATGTTGTATATTGACATGCATTTTGGCCGAGTGTATAAAGTAAGTCCAAATATCTGGAAACCCCTTAAGTTATGATTTAATAAATCAAAAGGCCCTAGAGGTTTTCTGAAAGGCCTGGTATCTGATCCAGCATGGCATGCTGGGATTGAGGGCTCGATCGTGTCCCGACGTGTTGCAGGAAAGGCCGTGTCGGAGTAGAAGGATTTCTCCAGCGTGTGCAAACGCTCCTCATCTGTCATGTGTTTCTCTCCACACCCGCTGAATAAACAGCACAGAGACGCAGGACACTGACTCTGGATGGAGGGCTTCTTCTTCTCACTCATGTATTGTGTTTCTGTCCTGCTCAGGGTCTGTGGATAGAGGAGACGAATGAGCTGAACTGAGGGAAATCACACACAACTGCACAGGTAAGACCTATTAAACACGCTGCAGGTTTACTTGTTGGTTCATTTGGTTGTATTCTATTTGAGTTATTGAAATACTGTTTATATATATATACAGTCAAACCAAAAATGATTCAGACACCAGATATAATTTTTTATATTTTTTTTACTAGTGTGTGCAGGACACTATAGTTCATTTATGTAAGTGAGGAGAGCAAAATAAAGTAAACTGTGACATATTACACCCAAAAATTTATTTATACAAAACGTATACAAATTTGGGCGCAAAAATGATTCCTCCACTTTGAGCTGATGATGTTTTGCTGAAGTGTGTTTTCTGTAATTGCTAATGCTCTTTTTACACACAGACTGAACAACATGAAGCATTGCTTGGTCACTGGTTGAGCTAAACTGGTATTCTCTAATTGTGTAGTTAAATTTAACAGCTGACAGATATTCAACATAATTCATGTGTGAGAATCTAACAGAAGGACGGACAAACATCCACTGAGTTCTGCTCATGTTTTATCACCACTATAGCGAATAAACTGTGATGATGTGAGGAATGTTGAAGGTGTCTGAATAGATTTTGGTTTGGCTGTACCTATATTGGTTTAGCAAGCATGTATAGGTCAAGTTTTGACGTGTTGTGTGTTCAGGGATGCTCTTCTGCAGATTATAACTAGTGCTTATTTGAGTTACTGTTGCCTTTCCATCAGCCGAACCAGTCTGATCCTTCTCCTCTGATTTCTGACATCAACACGGCTTTTTCATCCACTGGATATTTTGTCTTGTTCAGATCTCTCTCTGTAAACCCTAAAGACGGTTGTGTGTGAAAATCCCAGTAGATCAACCGTTTCTGAAATACTCAGTCACTTAAATCATATTTCTTCCTCATTCTGATGCTCAGTTTGAACTTCAGCCGATCGTCTTCACCATTTCTACATGCATTGAGTTGCTGCCTTGTGATTGGCTGATGAGATATTTGTGTTAACAAGCGGTTGAACGGGTGTGTGTGTGTATACACTCACCTAAAGGATTATTAGGAACACCATACTAATACTGTGTTTGACCCCCTTTCGCCTTCAGAACTGCCTTAATTCTACGTGGCATTGATTCAACAAGGTGCTGAAAGCATTCTTTAGAAATGTTGGCCCATATTGATAGGATAGCATCTTGCAGTTGATGGAGATTTGTGGGATGCACATCCAGGGCACGAAGCTCCCGTTCCACCACATCCCAAAGATGCTCTATTGGGTTGAGATCTGGTGACTGTGGGGGCCATTTTAGTACAGTGAACTCATTGTCATGTTCAAGAAACCAATTTGAAATGATTTGAGCTTTGTGACATGGTGCATTATCCTGCTGGAAGTAGCCATCAGAGGATGGGTACATGGTGGCCATAAAGGGATGGACATGGTCAGAAACAATGCTCAGGTAGGCCATGGCATTTAAACGATGCCCAATTGGCACTAAGGGGCCTAAAGTGTGCCAAGAAAACATCCCCCACACCATTACACCTCCACCACCAGCCTGCACAGTGGTAACAAGGCATGATGGATCCATGTTCTCATTCTGTTTACGCCAAATTCTAACTCTACCATCTGAATACCTCAACAAAAATCGAGACTCATCAGACCAGGCAACATTTTTCCAGTCTTCAACTGTCCAATTTTGGTGAGCTCTTGCAAATTGTAGCCTCTTTTTCCTATTTGTAGTGGAGATGAGTGGTACCCGGTGGGGTCTTCTGCTGTTGTAGCCCATCCGCCTCAAGGTTGTGCGTGTTGTGGCTTTACAAATGCTTTGCTGCATACCTCGGTTGTAACGAGTGGTTATTTCAGTCAAAGTTGCTCTTCTATCAGCTTGAATCAGTCAGCCCATTCTCCTCTGACCTCTAGCATCAACAAGGCATTTTCGCCCACAGGACTGCCGCATACTGGATGTTTTTCCCTTTTCACACCATTCTTTGTAAGTCTCTGATGTCCCCAGAGTCCCCAGAGTGTGTGTGTGAAGTTTTAGCTCAAAATACCCCACAGATATTTATATATAGCATTTTAAAATGGTCACTTTTTGAGGGTGAGCAAAAATGCACTGTTTTTGTGTCTGTCCCTTTAAATGCAAATGAGCCGCTGCTCCCGGCGCAGGGGGCGGAGCTTCAAGAGCTCGTGTCCTTTTACCTCAGACACACATGCACTGAACATTTCAACAACTTTTAGCCTTTTATGTTCAATCCGGAGTCAGAAAAATGGAGAGACTCGAGAAGAAGAAGTGACGACATGTAGAAGCAACATTTCTGAATGGTTAGTTGATGAACGTATGTAGCTTATGTGTCATTGATTAGCATATTCTGTCATGATAATCTGTAAATCGTGTTCCGGGGGCGGGGTTTATGCAAATCTTAGGGTTGGTGATGTCACTAACCCGGGAGGAAGCTCGTGTAGTTCTTCCAGCCGTTTGTTGTAGTCCTTAAAAAGTGATTTCTGTAAAAGCAAATCTCTCTCTTTGCTCTGAGCTTTGAGCGTTGTAACTTTGCAGATGTTGTTTACGCTCAAACAGCAACATTACACACTAACTACAGCTAGACAAGTGAAATCATAATCAACCACCCCTTTAATACTGTGTGTCGTTATCTGGATGATCCACGACTGTTTTTTTTTTAATCTTTTGTGATGGTTGTTTTTGAGTCCTCTTGTTTGTCCTGAGAAGTTAAACAGCCCAACGTTCTTCAGAAAAATCCTCCAGGTTAGTGTTGCACATTTGAACCCTTTCCAGCAGTGACTGTCTGATTTTGAGATCCATCTTTTCACACTGAGGACAACTGAGGGACTCAAACACAACTATTAAAAAAGGTTCAAACATTCACTGATGCTCCAGAAGGAGCGAGGGGTGAAAACTTTTGAACAGGATGAAAGTTTTGAATTTTTTCTTATTTTGTTTAAATATAATTTCATTTTTCATTTAGTACGGCCCTTCGGAAGCAACAGAAGATACTTACATGTTTCCCAGAAGACAAATTAAGTACAATTTACCTTGATCTCCAAATTCAAAAAGTTTTCACCCCCGGCTCTTAAAGCATCGTGTTTCCTTCTGGAGCATCAGTGAACGCTGCTAAAAACGATATTCACGTACAGGCGACAATGTTGTGAAAACAATCTCTTCACACTGATCCGTGAGAACGATTAAAAAGCACTGTATTATTCATGCCAGGCCAGTAGATGGCGATGTCACTTTGTAAAGAAACACCACGTGCCTATAGACTGAACACGTAACAAGCATAATGTAATTTTCGCATATCCATGTTATTGTACTTTACACACAGATGATAGCGGTATTGTTTCCAAAAACTTCCAATCCAAATTGCGTAAATTTTTCAGTTTTAGTTGAAAACAGTGTCTAATAAAGACCCCTCAGATATAAAGCTTTATACAGAAATGACATGCTTCACATTTTATTTGATAAGAGCGGCTAGAGAGATTTTATAGCAATATTTACTTTTCTAAAACATACTTTATGGATAACATAATGGATAAAAAAAAATGAAATTGATTGTCATGTGTTCGTGACGTCTTATCTGGTTATTTTGCGTATTTATTGCTCTCTGTTTAATGTTCTCTAGTGGGCAAATATTGATTGACAGCTCATACAAGAGGAGTTTACAGACACACACTGTCTTAAATGTGCAATTGTAGTTTATTAACTGCATATGTTTGCCAAACCCTTGAAGAACCTGCAAAAAGTCGATCATTTTTAAGAAATGAGAGGGATCATAATAATGCGGTTAGTTTTTATTTAGGGTATTTCATATGAAAGATAACTAACACACATGATCCTGAACCAAGAGGAAGCTTTTCATAATAATGCAGGTTGTAAAACACATGATGAAAACGTGTTATCAGAGTAACACAAATGACCCTTAAATAAAGCAATAAACATTTACAGAATGACACAAAACACCCTAATGTACATTACTGATATCAAAAATAAGATTAAACTATTTAAATAAAATATAATCATATGTAATGAGTCATGCTGGGACTTCTGGAAATGTCATTTTTTCACCATAAATTATACAATAATTCATAGTTTTTTCTTGCATTTTGCAAATTTGACAGTATTTTATGATAAAGTTACATATATTGTGATGTTAAACCATTTACAGTGTTTAACTGTATGCAGTATGTTAAGATAACTTACTGAATAGGTTTTAACTAGAGATGCACCGATGTATCGGCCAATAATCGGTGTCGCAAAAGCAGTAATTATTTTCACTGACGGCCGATTGTTGACGGCCGGGAAAACGTGTCGGATCTCATACTGTGTGTGAAGAAAATGTCTCTTGTGTTGAATTTAGGGCTGTCTATATGACAATAACACTTTAACAATAAAAAAATAGCGATGTGGAAGCAAAAGCAGGCTCTATTTGACCCTCAGAATCACCTGAAGTTCAAGCCAGGGTTGCCATGTCTGCAGTTTTTCCCTACAACTAACATTATTTGTAGCGCCTCCCATCCTATAATCGCGAAGAGCTTTGCGCTTTGTTACTCCTGATAAGAAACAAAGTCTTAGTTTTCAATTTCTGTCCATTTTATCATGAAATTCAAACTAAAATGGTGTTTATGAAAACTACCTTATGCAACTGAGTTGTATACAAACATTTCATTTTTGCATTTATTCCTAATTAGCAGTTGAATGTAATATTTTTTAATATTCATATATCATATATCATTCATATATTCAGATATCATTCTGAATAATCGCTATCGGTATCGGCAGATATTATTCTGAATAATCACTATCGGTATCGGCAGATATCATTCTGAATAATCACTATCGGTATCGGCAGATATCATTCTGAATAATCACTATCAGTATCGGCAGATATTATTCTGAATAATCACTATCGGTATCGGCAGATATCATTCTGAATAATCACTATCGGTATCGGCAGATATCATTCTGAATAATCACTATCGGTATCGGCAGATATTATTCTGAATAATCACTATCGGTATCGGCAGATATCATTCTGAATAATCACTATCGGTATCGGCATCGGCAGATATTATTCTGAATAATCACTATCGGTATCGGCAGATATCATTCTGAATAATCACTATCAGTATCGGCAGATATTATTCTGAATAATCACTATCGGTATCGGCAGATATCATTCTGAATAATCACTATCGGTATCGGCAGATATCATTCTGAATAATCACTATCGGTATCGGCAGATATTATTCTGAATAATCACTATCGGTATCGGCAGATATTATTCTGAATAATCACTATCGGTATCGGCAGATATCATTCTGAATAATCACTATCGGTATCGGCAGATATTATTCTGAATAATCACTATCGGTATCGGCAGATCTTATTCTGAATAATCACTATCGGTATCGGCAGATCTTATTCTGAATAATCACTATCGGTATCGGCAGATATCATTCTGAATAATCACTATCGGTATCGGCAGATATCATTCTGAATAATCGCTATCGGTATCGGCAGATATCATTCTGAATAATCGCTATCGGTATCGGCAGATATCATTCTGAATAATCACTATCGGTATCGGCAGATATCATTCTGAATAATCACTATCGGTATCGGCAGATATCATTCTGAATAATCACTATCGGTATCGGCAGATATCATTCTGAATAATCACTATCGGTATCGGCAGATATCATTCTGAATAATCGCTATCGGTATCGGCAGATATCATTCTGAATAATCGCTATCGGTATCGGCAGATATCATTCTGAATAATCACTATCGGTATCGGCAGATATCATTCTGAATAATCACTATCGGTATCGGCAGATATCATTCTGAATAATCACTATCAGTATCGGCAGATCTTATTCTGAATAATCACTATCGGTATCGGCAGATATCATTCTGAATAATCGCTATCGGTATCGGCAGATCTTATTCTGAATAATCACTATCGGTATCGGCAGATATCATTCTGAATAATCGCTATCGGTATCGGCAGATATCATTCTGAATAATCGCTATCGGTATCGGCAGATATCATTCTGAATAATCGCTATCGGTATCGGCAGATATCATTCTGAATAATCACTATCGGTATCGGCAGATATCATTCTGAATAATCACTATCGGTATCGGCAGATATTATTCTGAATAATCACTATCGGTATCGGCAGATATTATTCTGAATAATCACTATCAGTATCGGCAGATCTTATTCTGAATAATCACTATCGGTATCGGCAGATATCATTCTGAATAATCACTATCGGTATCGGCAGATATCATTCTGAATAATCACTATCAGTATCGGCAGATATCATTCTGAATAATCACTATCCGTATCGGCAGATCTTATTCTGAATAATCGCTATCGGTATCGGCAGATATCATTCTGAATAATCACTATCGGTATCGGCAGATATCATTCTGAATAATCACTATCAGTATCGGCAGATATCATTCTGAATAATCACTATCGGTATCGGCAGATATTATTCTGAATAATCACTATCGGTATCGGCAGATCTTATTCTGAATAATCGCTATCGGCAGATATCATTCTGAATAATCACTATTGGTATCGGCAGATATTATTCTGAATAATCACTATCGGTATCGGCAGATCTTATTCTGAATAATCAATATCGGTATCGGCAGATATCATTCTGAATAATCACTATCGGTATCGGCAGATCTTATTCTGAATAATCACTATCGGTATCGGCAGATCTTATTCTGAATAATCAATATCGGTATCGGCAGATCTTATTCTGAATAATCAATATCGGTATCGGCAGATATCATTCTGAATAATCGGCTATTGCTATTGTTTTGGCAGATATTCTGAATAATCACTATCGGTATAGGCAGATCTTATTCTGAATAATCAATATCGGTATCGGCAGATATCATTCTGAATAATCGGCTATTGCTATTGTTTTGGCAGATATTCTGAATAATCGTCTATCAGTATCGACAGACATCACTCTGAATTATCGGTTATTGCTATTGGCGAAAAATGTAGTATCGGTGCAGCTCTAGTTTTTACTGTACCTTTTTTATAGTATTTTTCTGTAAAAATGGCAAAGATTTTTTACAGTGCACTACTACACAAAAATGACATTGTTTATATCTCATGTTTGTATACATTCTGCATTGGGTTTATAAATTTGTTCCCATTCACTTCATGCATCAGGACAGATGTTGAGGGTCACAGGAGGACCTAAACTACTGAGGAATAATAGTCGAGCGGTGATCAGATACTAGTCAATATGTTCATCCACGCTGGTGATGTGATTGATCGAGTTAATGCAGAACAGAGGCGCCTAACCCTTCCAGCAACACCGCCATATAATGTCAGTTTCAAAGCTTTCATTAGCATATCATTAGGTTTAACCTTCAAGTAAAACAAAACGACTCAAATGAGTCAATACAGTAAAAGTATTGAGCTATAAAATGAATGTGGAGCTGCTCAGATCATTTGATCTTGAGAGAGTTTGATAGAAAATATTTTAAAATGTCTGGCTTTTAATGTCTAGGAAAAAAGACAGAGATATTAACCCTGTAAAGCCTCACTTATGATATAATAGTCAAACAAAAACAAAAATGTTTTGTATCATATTTGATCATTTTATAGCTCATATGGTATAATATAGTGAGAATTTAATCGAGTGAGAGCAGGAAATCCTGATGCTTGTGATGTAAATCAATGATAACAGTGTAGCAGATACTTCTTGCATGAAATGCATCAAAATATCTGCCAGTAATGTCTTAGTAAGATGATATTTAAATGCTTAGATTTATGATCAAAACATATGATGCAATGTAATACAATGATGATTGAGAGATGAACACATAAACCTTCCTCAAAAGCCTGATGATCATATTTGATACTCATGATTTTTCTAATAAATGATGATGGATAATCAAGTAAACCGAAGCTGCTTCAGTCCAGATGAAATATTTCTAACAATCTTTAAGTTATTCCTACGTTTACGTGATACAAATCAGCTCAGATGTGACCGCAGAAAGACACGAGCTGAAGGAGGACGTTTGTACAATTACGCTAATAGATTTTACTTGATAAAACAGTCTAAACTATCAATCAGAAGGACTGTCGGAGCTTGTGTGAAACAAGTCATTTAGAAGCCTTAGAAATGTGTGTAAGAAAAATAATACAGGGTTAACTAGGGCTAAATATATTCATAAAGGCTTTGGAAATCCAATGTACCCAATGTACTCGGGACATTGTTTTCTGTGGTGGCTTTCATGACCTCAGTGTAACCTGCAGGAATATTGAGCCTGTCACTAGTGGTTTGGTTCCCATGGTTCACTGAATATGCATTAGTAAAGACTCGATCTACAACCGTCTCACTTTAGTGTCCGTGTAACAGTGTTAGTAAAGGGGCGTGTCCTCAGGTGTCCGATTGACAGCACGTGTCACACCTGTCCCCGCCCCCTTTTGAGCCTTGTTTAGTTTTTTTGACGGACATCTCTTCAGTTGGGTCTAGTACATGTTGTGAATGCGACTCCATGACATTGCTGGAGAAACTGAGTGTGTCGTGTCACGATGGGACCAACTCTTGTTTCCCGCAGGCTGTCGGGATGTTCCTGAGGAAGAAGAAGAAGAAGAGGAGGCTGGAGATCTCCACGCCCAAGAACTTCGAGCACAGGGTGCACACGTCCTTCGACCCGGTCCAGGGATGTTTCCTCGGTCTGCCGCCCCAATGGCAGAGCATCATCGAAACACTCAAGAGACCCAAACCTGTGGTGGACCCGTCCAGAATCACACAGGTCTACCTCAAACCGAAGAAGGTAAAGTGGAGCATGTTCAAGACAAGGACACGTTTGATGTTTCACGATATGTGCTTCTGTATCAGAGCTTTGATATTCATAATTAACGTGTTTATATATATATAGATAAACTATACAGTAGTTTGAATCATACATACAGCAATTATAGTATATATAATTCATATATATATATATATATATATATGTACCGGTAATTAATCAATGGTTAAATTACATTATATATATTTTTGCATTAGCCTATTTGCAAAACTTAGTGACTTATGATGACAATTAGGCAAAAATATCAGTCAAAAAAATATACATTTGATATTACAGCGCTGCATAGATATTTCCATTTTTAACATTATTATCCAATTATTATAAATAGTAACTTACTAGGTAGGTGAATATCACAAAATATTACAGAATATCACGTGTGTGTGTGTGTGTGTGTGAGTGTGTGTGTGCGTTATATACAGTATATTATATATGTATACATCACGTGTGTGTGTGTGTGTGCATTATATATATTATATATGTATATATCCCGTGTGTGTGCGCGTGTGTGAGTGTTATATACACTACCGTTCAAAAGTTTGGGGTCAGTGAGAATTTTATTTTTATTTTTTGGAGGAAAGAAATCAATACTTTTATTTATCAAGGAATAATTCATTTGATCGAAAGTGACAGTAAAGACATTTATAATGTTACAAAAGTCTTTTGAACTTCCTATTCATCAAAGAATCCAAAAAAAAAAACTGTACAACTGACAGACCAACAACTGTTTCAACATTGATAATAATAATAAATGTTTCTTGAGCATCAAATCCTCATATTATACTGATTTGTGAAGGATCATTTGACACTGAAGACACTGACACTGGTGATGCTGAAAATTCAGCTTTGATCACAGGAATAAATTACACTTTACTATATATTCACACAGAAAACAGCTGATTTACACTGGAATAATATTTAATACTATAACTGATTTTTGTTGTATTTTTAATCAAATAAGCGCAGCCATGGTTAGCAGAAGAGAATTCTTTTAAAAGTATTTAAAATCGTACCGACCCCAAACTTTTGAACGGTAGTGTGTATTATATATGTATATATCACTTGTGTGTGTGTGTGTGTGTGTGTGTGCGCGTGTGTGTATGTGTGTTGTTATATGTATTATATATGTATATATCACGTGTGTGTGTGTGTGTGTCTGCGCGTGTGTGTGTGTGTGTGTGTTATATATATTATATATTATATATCACGTGTGTTTGTGTGTGTTATATATATTATATATCACGTGTGTGTGTGTGTGTGTGCGCGTGTGTGTGTGTGTGTTATATGTATTATATATGTATATATCACACGTGTGTGTTTGTGTGCGCGTGTGTGTATGTGTGTTATATGTATTATATATGTATATATCACGTGTGTGTGTGTGTGTGTGTGTGTGCGCGTGTCTGTGTGTGTGTGTTATATATATTATATATTATATATCACGTGTGTTTGTGTGTGTTATATATATTATATATCACGTGTGTGTGTGTGTGTGTGCGCGTGTGTGTGTGTGTGTTATATGTATTATATATGTATATATCACACGTGTGTGTTTGTGTGCGCGTGTGTGTATGTGTGTTATATGTATTATATATGTATATATCACGTGTGTGTGTGTGTGTGTGTGCGCGTGTCTGTGTGTGTGTGTTATATATATTATATATTATATATCACGTGTGTGTGTGTGTGTGTGTTATATATATTATATATTATATATCACGTGTGTGTGTGTGTAATCCAAAATTGATGCTTGAACTTTTTTTTGCATGAATTATTTGCAAAACTTAGTGACATTATTTGTATGACATTTAGGCAAAAATATCAGCCAAGAAATTATATAGTTGATATTATTTTGCAAAACATTTCACTGCATATATAATTAATTAATACTGTTATATTTGTTACATTATTATGCAGTTATTATATACAGTTACTAGGTAGTTGATTCTCATGCCCAGATCACATTTCACTCCAAAATCAAAAGAAAAAAGAAATAAATTATTGCATAAAGAAAATTGTAGAATTATTTGCCAAACTTACCGACAATATTTTAAGACAATTAAGCAAAAATATATAATGTCTCTTGATTTTCCTGTGAAATTAGACTGAGACGCATTTCTTTACAGCATCTACTGTAATTTCTTTTTTAAATCTTCCCACTAAATGTTTTTCAACAGAACATCTTTTCCCTGAGGAAGTTTGTTTCACGTTAATGTTTGCGGCTCCAGTTAATAATCACATGTCTGTTAAACAGGTTCTGTCTCCATGTTTATATCTAAACCATCGTCTCGGTTGCGTTTCCCCAGAGTTCTCACGTATCCGCTGCACCATTCAAACACTTTAAGAATGTGACATTAAGCCTTTTTATTTGACCTGATAAACCTGCTCGACGCTGCTGTTATATAATAGCTCTCGGAGGAGCTGCATCATCCCACCAAATGACTGAGGGTGAATGTCTGAGATCCAGTAAAATTCTGCTTAGAGATGCAAATGAGATGCAAATGGTCCTGAATATTGTTCTTGTAGTGAAAATATCTGCTATCTCCTGGTTAATATGAGATTTTGGTGTATTTGCATGTATGGAAACGTCAGTTAGAAGGGGGTGAAAATCAAATAATTTCACAGCATCATTTTTTAGGGGGAAAAACTTAGAATTCTAAAATACTTTTAAAATATAGCCTTAATGAAGACAATTCTGGAGTTTATAGAATATTACTCTTTAAAATGATCCCTAAAAATGAAGAATTGCATGCATATAAAGATCTAACAACTGCAATCTTCAAATGCATGACTTATATTTCTGCAGTATTTATTATCCATTTATTGACTTTTTGAGCATAGACCTAAAAATGAAATTTCCAACTTAAACTGTCGTAAATCTTGAAAGTTTGATCTCTTTTTAAAAACGACACTTGGCAAATTATTGCTGAAGTGAAAAAAGTTTTTTTTTTAAAGTTATAGAATTTTACATTTATTGCTGTGAAAAAAAATCTATTTTCAGTTTTTATATGAAATATATATTTTCTAAAACTTTTTTTCAGGACCAATTATTCTTTTTGAATCATGTCCATGATTATTTATTTTTTTATTCACATAGCAAGTGCCAAAACCTTTACCAAGTTTCGTACCATTACGATGAAGTAAAAGATTCTTTAAAAAAAGATTTTTTTTTTTTTCAAAAATGACCGAAGCGCACCAGAGAGTTAAATGTCACAACTTGTTTCAGAAAGTTCAGAGAACATTTAAAAGTAACATTCCCATAATGTTTGCAAAATGGAATGTTCACTTAACAAATTTGATTCAGCTCAATTCAGTTCAGTTCAATAACCATCAACATTGTAAAGTTCATGAATTACGAAACAAATTTGATTCAGCTCAATTCATTTCAATGTTGATTCAGTTCAGTTCAATAACCGTCAACATTGCAAAGTTCATGAATTACAAAACAAATTTGATTCAGCTCAATTCAGTTCAATGTTGATTCAGTTCAGTTCAATAACCGTCAACATTGCAAGTTCATGAATTACGAAACAAATTTGATTCAGCTCAATTCATTTCAATGTTGATTCAGTTCAGTTCAATAACCGTCAACATTGCAAAGTTCATGAATTACAAAACAAATTTGATTCAGCTCAATTCAGTTCAATGTTGATTCAGTTCAGTTCAATAACCGTCAACATTGCAAGTTCATGAATTACAAAACAAATTTGATTCAGCTCAATTCAGTTCAATGTTGATTCAGTTCAGTTCAGTTCAATAACCGTCAACATTGCAAGTTCATGAATTACAAAACAAATTTGATTCAGCTCAATTCAGTTCAATGTTGATTCAGTTCAGTTCAATAACCGTCAACATTGCAAGTTCATGAATTACGAAACAAATTTGATTCAGCTCAATTCATTTCAATGTTGATTCAGTTCAGTTCAATAACCGTCAACATTGCAAAGTTCATGAATTACAAAACAAATTTGATTCAGCTCAATTCAGTTCAATGTTGATTCAGTTCAGTTCAATAACCGTCAACATTGGAAGTTCATGAATTACAAAACAAATTTGATTCAGCTCAATTCAGTTCAATGTTGATTCAGTTCAGTTCAATAACCGTCAACATTGCAAGTTCATGAATTACAAAACAAATTTGATTCAGCTCAATTCAGTTCAATGTTGATTCAGTTCAGTTCAATAACCGTCAACATTGCAAGTTCATGAATTACGAAACAAATTTGATTCAGCTCAATTCATTTCAATGTTGATTCAGTTCAGTTCAATAACCGTCAACATTGCAAAGTTCATGAATTACAAAACAAATTTGATTCAGCTCAATTCAGTTCACTGTTGATTCAGTTCAGTTCAATAACCGTCAACATTGCAAAGTTCATGAATTACAAATCAAATTTGATTCAGCTCAATTCAGTTCAATGTTGATTCAGTTCAATAACCGTCAACATTGCAAAGTTCATGAATTACGAAAAAATTTGATTCAGCTCAATTCAGTTCAATGTTGATTCAGTTCAGTTCAATAACCGTCAACATGGCAAAGTTCATGAATTACGAAAAAATTTGATTCAGCTCAATTCAGTTCACTGTTGATTCAGTTCAATAACCGTCAACATTGCAAGTTCATGAATTACGAAACAAATTTGATTCAGCTCAATTCAGTTCAATGTTGATTCAGTTCATTTCAATAACCGTCAACATTGCAAAGTTCATGAATTACAAAACAAATTTGATTCAGCTCAATTCAGTTCACTGTTGATTCAGTTCAGTTCAATAACCGTCAACATTGCAAAGTTCATGAATTACAAATCAAATTTGATTCAGCTCAATTCAGTTCAATGTTGATTCAGTTCAATAACCGTCAACATTGCAAAGTTCATGAATTACGAAAAAATTTGATTCAGCTCAATTCAGTTCAATGTTGATTCAGTTCAGTTCAATAACCGTCAACATTGCAAAGTTCATGAATTACAAATCAAATTTGATTCAGCTCAATTCAGTTCACTGTTGATTCAGTTCAATAACCGTCAACATTGCAAGTTCATGAATTACGAAACAAATTTGATTCAGCTCAATTCAGTTCAATGTTGATTCAGTTCATTTCAATAACCGTCAACATTGCAAAGTTCATGAATTACAAAACAAATTTGATTCAGCTCAATTCAGTTCAATGTTGATTCAGTTCAGCTCAATAACCGTCAACATGGCAAAGTTCATGAAATACGAAGCAAATTTGATTCAGCTCAATTCAGTTCACTGTTGATTCAGTTCAGTTCAATAACCATCAACATTGTAAACTTCATGAATTACGAAACAAATTTGATTCAGCTCAATTCAGTTCAATGTTGATTCAGTTCAGTTCAATAACTGTCAACATTGCAAGTTCATGAATTACGAAACAAATTTGATTCAGCTCAATTCAGTTCAATGTTGATTCAGTTCAGTTCAATAACTTCAACATTGCAAAGTTCATGAAATACGAAGCAAATTTGATTCAGCTCAATTCAGTTCACTGTTGATTCAGTTCAATAACCATCAACATTGTAAACTTCATGAATTACGAAACAAATTTGATTCAGCTCAATTCAGTTCAATGTTGATTCAGTTCAGTTCAATAACGTCAACATTGCAAAGTTCATGAAATACGAAGCAAATTTGATTCAGCTCAATTTAGTTCACTGTTGATTCAGTTCAGTTCAATAACGTCAACATTGCAAAGTTCATGAATTACGAAACAAATTTGATTCAGCTCAATTCAGTTCACTGTTGATTCAGTTCAGTTCAATAACGTCAACATTGTAAAGTTCATGAATTACGAAACAAATTTGATTCAGTTCAATGTTGATTCAGTTCAATAACCGTCAACATTGCAAAGTTCATGAATTACGAAACAAATTTGATTCAGCTCAATTCAGTTCAATGTTGATTCAGTTCAGTTCAATAACCGTCAACATTGCAAAGTTCATGAATTACGAAACAAATTTGATTCAGCTCAATTCAGTTCAATGTTGATTCAGTTCAGTTCAATAACCGTCAACATTGTAAAGTTCATGAATTACGAAACAAATTTGATTCAGCTCAATTCAGTTCACTGTTGATTCAGTTCAGTTCAATAACCGTCAACATTGCAAAGTTCATGAATTACGAAACAAATTTGATTCAGCTCAATTCAGTTCAATGTTGATTCAGTTCAGTTCAATAACCTGCAACATTGCAAAGTTCATGAATTACGAAACAAATTTGATTCAGCTCAATTCAGTTCAATGTTGATTCAGTTCAGTTCAATAACCGTCAACATTGCAAAGTTCATGAAATACGAAGCAAATTTGATTCAGCTCAATTCAGTTCACTGTTGATTCAGTTCAGTTCAATAACGTCAACATTGCAAAGTTCATGAATGACGAAACAAATTTGATTCAGCTCAATTCAGTTCACTGTTGATTCAGTTCAGTTCAATAACCATCAACATTGTAAAGTTCATGAATTACGAAACAAATTTGATTCAGCTCAATTCAGTTCAATGTTGATTCAGTTCAGTTCAATAACCGTCAACATTGCAAAGTTCATGAATTACGAAACAAATTTGATTCAGCTCAATTCAGTTCAATGTTGATTCAGTTCAGTTCAATAACCGTCAACATTGTAAAGTTCATGAATTACGAAACAAATTTGATTCAGCTCAATTCAGTTCACTGTTGATTCAGTTCAGTTCAATAACCGTCAACATTGCAAAGTTCATGAATTACGAAACAAATTTGATTCAGCTCAATTCAGTTCAATGTTGATTCAGTTCAGTTCAATAACCTGCAACATTGCAAAGTTCATGAATTACGAAACAAATTTGATTCAGCTCAATTCAGTTCAATGTTGATTCAGTTCAGTTCAATAACCGTCAACATTGCAAAGTTCATGAAATACGAAGCAAATTTGATTCAGCTCAATTCAGTTCACTGTTGATTCAGTTCAGTTCAATAACCGTCAACATTGTAAAGTTCATGAATTACGAAACAAATTTGATTCAGCTCAATTCAGTTCACTGTTGATTCAGTTCAGTTCAATAACCGTCAACATTGCAAAGTTCATGAATTACGAAACAAATTTGATTCAGCTCAATTCAGTTCAATGTTGATTCAGTTCAGTTCAATAACTGTCAACATTGCAAGTTCATGAATTACGAAACAAATTTGATTCAGCTCAATTCAGTTCAGTGTTGATTCGATTCAGCTGTAAAGCAGCTCTTAAAAGACAATAGTGTCGTCATTATTCAGATCAAGTTTTTTCTCATCTGATCTGCAGTCAACTCTTTTTAAAATAGAGTAAATCGAGTCAGTTTTGATGTTGTGTTTAACTCTCTCTTCCAGAGCATCGTGCGTGGCAGTTTCATCGGACACGAGGACTACATTTCTGCGGCGATCGCTGAGATGAGTCGACTCTCTGTCACCAGCTCAAACTCCTTAAGGAGAACCAGCCCGTCTTTGCGGAAACGAGCTCAATCTCTGGGTCGCCTGGGAGAGGTAGTCGAGGGAGAGACGTACGAGTATCAGGAACTGAACGAGGCGAATCTGAGAAACGGTCAGTCGGTCTTGGACTGGCACTCAAGATCCCGACAGGTCCAGAGTGAGAGTGGAAGTCCTCAGCCTGACCACAAGAAGGGCTTCACTTTAAACCCAAATGACTCACGGACAAGATCCAAATCAATTCACGAGGTGAAGATGTTCACGGAGCAACCGATGCTCATGCCTCGGGACATTTTACTCGCGCCTAGAACTGTTCATGACCGGCTCGGCATCGCTAAAATGGACGGTAAATTCATCCAGAGACCCGTGTCGTGTCTCTACAGCACATACAGAGAAAACAACGGAGCAAAACTGATCTCAGAACTGCCGAAGATGGAAGCGCAGAAGAGGCCACAGTCCACCTACAACTTTAAGGTGTGTAAAGTCACATTTATTTATATATATAGCGCTTATAAAATACAGATGGTTTCAAAGCATCTTGACGGTGATAAACTGGGAAATAGTGTTAATGTTGCAAAATGCATCAATTATGAAACAAATAAAATTTCCTTTGTAAAGCAGCTCTAAAAATATTATAGACTCATTGTTCAGCTCAATACAGTTCTATGTTGATTCAGTTTAGTTCAATAACAGTGAATGTTGTAAAAGTTCATTAGTTATGAAGCAAACTCAATTTAACTAAAGCAGCTCTAAAAAGACAATAGAGTTATAATTCAGTTCAATTCAGTTCAAAGTTGATTTAGTTCAGTTCAATAACAATGTGAATGTTGTAATAGTTTGTTAGTTATGAAATGAACTCAATTCAACTAAAGCAGCTCTAAAAAGACAATAGAGTTATAATTCAGTTCAATTCAGTTCAAAGTTGATTTAGTTCAGTTCAATAACAATGTGAATGTTGTAATAGTTTGTTAGTTATGAAATGAACTCAATTCAACTAAAGCAGCTCTAAAAAGACAATAGAGTTATAATTCAGTTCAAAGTTGATTTAGTTGAGTTCAATAACAGTGTGAATGTTGTAAAATGTCATTAGTTATGATTCTGAAGCAAACTCAATTTAACTAAAGCAGCTCTAAAAAGGCAATAGAGTTATAATTTAGTTCAATTCAGTTCAAAGTTGATTTAGTTCAGTTCAGTAACAGTGTGAATGTTGTAAAATATCATTAGTTATGATTCTGAAGCAAACTCAATTTAACTAAAGCAGCTCTAAAAAGACAATAGTTATAATTCATTTCAAAGTTGATTTAGTTCAGTTCAGTAATAGTGTGAATGTTGTAAAATATCATTAGTTATGATTCTGAAGCAAACTCAATTTAACTAAAGCAGCTCTAAAAAGACAATAGTTATAATTCAGTTCAAAGTTGATTTAGTTCAGTTCAGTAACAGTGTGAATGTTGTAAAATATCATTAGTTATGATTCTGAAGCAAACTCAATTTAACTAAAGCAGCTCTAAAAAGACAATAGAGTTATAATTCAGTTCAATTCAGTTCAAAGTTGATTTAGTTCAGTTCAATAACAGTGTGAATGTTGTAAAATATCATTAGTTATGAAGCAAACTCAATTTAACTAAAGCAGCTCTAAAAAGACAATAGAGTTATTAGTCAGTTCAATAGGCTTTATGCCGAGCGTCACGTGACCAAGCCGGAAAACAGGTCACATCGCTTCCGATTCAGGTCTTTTGTATGTGCTTCATGAAATTTTTTGCGGTTTTACTCAAGATAACTTAAAAGGAGCAAGCAAAAATGAGCACAACCAATGTCCCTCGCATGTGCAGATTGATATTTAAAAGTTTTTTTATTTTTCTTCTTCACACTAACGTTTAGATATTTAAACAGCATAAAACACCGATAACAAAGTGAACTTAGTAGGTTAGCTGATTACCTTAAAAATCCATAGATATCGTAGTTAGTTCTTACGGCCGTTAACACTTTCTCTGACAAGCGGATGCAATGAGACCCGTTTTCCGGTTTGGTCACGTGACGCTCGGCATAAAGCCTATTCAGTTCAAAGTTGATTTAGTTCAGTTCAATAACAGTGTGAATGTTGTAATAGTTTGTTAGTTATGAAGTGAACTCAGTTCAACTAAAGCAGCTCTAAAAAGACAATAGAGTTATTAGTCAGTTCAATTCAGTTCAAAGTTGATTTAGTTCAGTTCAATAACAGTGTGAATGTTGTAATAGTTTGTTAGTTATGAAGTGAACTCAGTTCAACTAAAGCAGCTCTAAAAAGACAATAGAGTTATAATTCAGTTCAATTCAGTTCAAAGTTGATTTAGTTCAGTTCAATAACAGTGTGAATGTTGTAAAATGTCATTAGTTGTGATTCTGAAGCAAACTCAATTTAACTAAAGCAGCTCTAAAAAGGCAATAGAGTTATAATTTAGTTCAATTCAGTTCAAAGTTGATTTAGTTCAGTTCAGTAATAGTGTGAATGTTGTAAAATATCATTAGTTATGATTCTGAAGCAAACTCAATTTAACTAAAGCAGCTCTAAAAAGACAATAGTTATAATTCAGTTCAATTCAGTTCAAAGTTGATTTAGTTCAGTTCAGTAACAGTGTGAATGTTGTAAAATATCATTAGTTATGATTCTGAAGCAAACTCAATTTAACTAAAGCAGCTCTAAAAAACAATAGAGTTATAATTCAGTTCAATTCAGTTCAAAGTTGATTTAGTTCAGTTCAATAACAGTGTGAATGTTGTAATAGTTTGTTAGTTATGAATTGAACTCAGTTCAACTAAAGCAGCTCTAAAAAGACAATAGAGTTATAATTCAGTTCAATTCAGTTCAAAGTTGATTTAGTTCAGTTCAATAACAGTGTGAATGTTGTAAAATATCATTAGTTATGAAGCAAACTCAATTTAACTAAAGCAGCTCTAAAAAGACAATAGAGTTATTAGTCAGTTCAATTCAGTTCAAAGTTGATTTAGTTCAGTTCAATAACAGTGAATGTTGTAATAGTTTGTTAGTTATGAAGTGAACTCAGTTCAACTAAAGCAGCTCTAAAAAGACAATAGAGTTATAATTCAGTTCAATTCAGTTCAATGTTGATTTAGTTCAGTTCAATAACAGTGTGAATGTTGTAATAGTTTGTTAGTTATGAATTGAACTCAGTTCAACTAAAGCAGCTCTAAAAAGACAATAGAGTTATAATTCAGTTCAATTCAGTTCAAAGTTGATTTAGTTCAGTTCAATAACAGTGTGAATGTTGTAAAATATCATTAGTTATGAAGCAAACTCAATTTAACTAAAGCAGCTCTAAAAAGACAATAGAGTTATTAGTCAGTTCAATTCAGTTCAAAGTTGATTTAGTTCAGTTCAATAACAGTGAATGTTGTAATAGTTTGTTAGTTATGAAGTGAACTCAGTTCAACTAAAGCAGCTCTAAAAAGACAATAGAGTAATTATTCAGCTCAATTCAGTTCAATGTTGATTCAGTTTAGTTCAATAACAGTGCAAAGTTCAATGTTTATGAAATGAACTTGATTCAACTAAAAGCAGCTCTTCAGAATTCATTATGCAGCTCAATTCTGATTCAATGCTGATTTAGTTTAGTTCAATAGCAGTGCAAAGTTCAATTATGAAGTGAATTTGATTCCGCTGTAAAGCTCTAGAAAAGACAATGGAATCATTATTTAGCTCAATTTAGTTCAAGTTTTCAAGTTTTGCTCTCATCTGAGAGTGTCAGTGCAGTCAAATAGATAATATTACTGAATATTTAGTGTCTTTTAAACCCAAACTTAGCAAACCAAAGGCGAGTACTCAGCCTGAGAAACTTGTTTGGGTGTTATTTCATATTGCAATATTTACAATAGGGATGATGTCACTTTTTTCAAATGTGTTCGTAGCTTAGACTCTATTTCATTTCATACAGAACAGGTCCAACAGATTGCTCTGGGTCAAATACAAGTTGAGCCTTGCATGCTGCAAAAATTATTTTAAGTCGCATGGCGTTAACTACACCAAGGTCATAGGTTTGATTCCCAGAATGTATAAACCGATCAAATGTACCTTGAATGCAAAATACTGTTAATTTTCTAGGGATAAAAATGTCTGTCTAATGCATAAATGTAAAATAAGTACAGCCACAAGATTTACAAATTAGTAGTGTTTACATGAAGCTAGTGTGATAGAATTGTTCACTAAAATTCCCTATGCAAAGTTGTATAAATTCTTATTTTTTGCTGTTTTGACCATTTAAATGAGCTAAACTCTGATAAGCACAGTATACCAGAAATGCACTGTTTACATGAAGAAAAATCCCATCAGGAGAGAAAATCCTGTTGGAGGAGAAAAAAAAAAGAGTTTTGAGGAAAAAAAAAATATTTTTATTAAATAACATTTGAAAAACCTACAGGTAAATATTCTATAAATATTTGTGAGTCTTCATTTTCTTTCGTTTGCCTACTCCAGTGCTTGTTAAGACTCACTAGATATGTTTATTCTGTGCATTTTGGGCACTTTTTGCATGAAATCATATTTACTTCGTCCATCAAAAGCGTGCTTTCACTTTAATTGAGCGTGAAAATAGACTCGCCGCCGAAACCCCCGCTTCACTAGCCGCGTTTCCATTACCCTTCAAATTGCGCAAATTGAAATTGAAAATTGAAAATACGCCCAATGGAAACACGTCAATTTCGCAAAAAAAACTCCTGTTTATCGCAAAAAAGTTTTTACGCTCGCATTAGGTTTTTTTTCAGGCTATTCAAAAAGAAATATTTCGCTAAACTGCAATGGAAACAGTTTTTGCGCATTTACAGTCACCTGACGTAGATGGCGCGGTGTGTTTGGACAGAATAGAGAGCCTAAACCCCTCCCCTTCCGGTCGACCACCATGGGCCCTTATTTCGGAAAAATATTGTATGGTAGTCAATGACGAGAGACAACAAATATTTTGATCTCGTTTGAATTGTGCCCTGAATTACACATATGATGTTTGTCAATTTAAAAGATACATTTTAAAGTCAAGAAAGTCGCAGTTTGATATGAAACTGTTGAGGTATAAGACTGTGAAAATACGTAATTACAAAGACTACAAACCCCAGAGGCGCACATTTTCTCTCAATGAATGAAGCCAACTTTACTGAAGCTAACTTTACTGAAGCTAACTTTACTGAAGCTAACCTTACTGAAGCTAACTTTACTGAAGCTAACCTTACTGAAGCTAACTTTACTGAAGCTAACCTTACTGAAGTTAACTTTACTGAAGCTAACCTTACTGAAGCTAACTTTACTGAAGCTACCTTTACTGAAGCTAACCTTACTGAAGCTAACTTTACTGAAGCTAACTTTACTGAAGCTAACCTTACTGAAGCTAACTTTACTGAAGCTAACCTTACTGAAGCTAACTTTACTGAAGCTACCTTTACTGAAGCTAACCTTACTGAAGCTAACTTTATTGAAGCTAGTTTTACTGAAGCTAACTTTAATGAAGCTAACTTTACTGAAGCTAACTTTACTGAAGCTACCTGAAGCTAACTTTACTGAAGCTAACTTTACTGAAGCTAACTTTACTGAAGCTAACTTTACTGAAGCTATCTTTACTGAAGCTAGTTTTACTGAAGCTAACTTTACTGAAGCTAGCTTTACTGAAACTAGCTTTACTGAAGCTAACTTTACTGAAGTTAACTTTACTGAAGTTAACTTTACTGAAGCTAACTTTATTGAAGCTAACTTTACTGAAGCTACCTTTACTGAAGTTAACTTTACTGAAGCTAACTGAAGCTAACTTTACTGAAGCTAACTGAAGCTAACTTTACTGAAGCTAACTGAAGCTAACTTTACTGAAGCTAACTTTACTGAAGCTAACTGAAGCTAACTTTACTGAAGCTAACTTTACTGAAGCTAACTTTACTGAAGCTAACTTTACTGAAGCTAAAGCTAACTTTACTGAAGCTAAAGCTAACTTTACTGAAGCTAACTTTACTGAAGCTAACTTTACTGATGCTAACTTTACTGAAGCTAACTTTACTGAAGCTACCTGAAGCTAACTTTACTGAAGCTAACTTTACTGAAGCTAACTTTAACTTTACTGAAGCTAACCTTACTGAAGCTAACGTCTGTCATTGTTTCTATAGTCTTGCGTTATAATCGTAGCGTTGCGCCGTCATCGAGTGTTTTGTACCAGACTGCAGACACTCGAGCAGCGGATCTCGCTCGTTGTTTCGCTTCCCGGGAGATGTAGTTCATTGCGCGATTTTCACATAAAACTAAATGTTACTCTTCTGTTTTATGACAAACTGCGACTTTCTTGACTTCCAGAATTATCTTTTAAATTGACAAAAACATCATATGTGTAATTCAGGGCACAGTTCAGACGGAATAAAAAGATAAGTTGTCTCTCGCCATTGACTACCATACATATTTTTTCCGAAATGAGCCGGAAGCGGAGGGGAGGGGCTTAGGCTCCCTATACGAGACGGAGTTCTCTATTAATTCTATTAATTAAATTCATAAAATATTCTAAAGAAATCCCACAATCAAGAACATTTTAAACCCCAAAATATTCCTTATTCTTCCAGTGTAATAAGCTGTTTTCCTACTTTTGTCTGACAAACTCAACAGACGTCGTATTTATCCCCGAACACAGGTGAATTCCCCGACCTACGCGGCCATTTCCAAACCCAACGGCACCAGTAGTCCAAAACCAGGCCATGGATTAATCCCCATCCAAACCACACGCCGTTCCTCCAATGACATCGTGGACGGCAACGAAACCTCGGGACCCCCGACCCAGGACAGCCCGTCCCAGCCCAGACCTCCACCCACGGGCTCGTCGGAGAGTCCCGGTCCGACGCCCGCCAGCGCCCCGGAGCCCACGCTCTCCCACGAGCAGTTCAAGGCCGCGCTGCAGATGGTGGTGGACCGAGGGGACCCTCGCTCGTCTCTGGAGAGCTTCGTGAAGATCGGAGAAGGCTCCACGGGTGTGGTCTGCATCGCGCGGGAGAAGCTCAGCGGACGCCAGGTCGCGGTGAAGATGATGGACCTGAGGAAGCAGCAGAGGAGGGAACTGCTCTTCAATGAAGTATGACGACACTAGCATGACTAATGTGACGTTTGATGAGGAGTTAAGCTAAGCTAACTTAGAGCGATCAAGCTATTCGGAAACGATGACTTGCTTGAAGATCCACATCAGTTTTGTTTTATAAATAAATACAATATATATTATATAAGGATTAGTTATTCTAAAAAATAAATATAATAAAATAGAAATAAACATTTATAATATAACGATATATTCAAAATGTATGTATGTACTTTATATATATTATATATACATATATATATATATATATATAATTTATTTATTTATAAAAAAACAATGATGTATTAAAAATCACAATGTCTTGCCTTAAAAGAACCACATTAGAATTTTTGTATAAATATAAAAATAATATTAAATAAAATTGATATTAACAATTTTTTTAAATATATGTATATATATGATATTTTTAAATATAACATATATACATAATTTCAAATATATCATTGTTTACACACACACACACACACACACACACACACACACACACACACACACATACATATGTATTATGTGTATGTATATATATATATATAATCTTTGTTAAAATAATTTTAATATATTAATAAATATTAACATTTATATATATATATATACACATACACACAATATATAAATATGTAAACAATGATACATATATATATTAATACATTTATATATTGAAATTATTTTTACACTTTATATATATATATATATATATATATATATATATAACAATACTAAACTAGTTTTAATATATCATTGTTTATGTATATATATATATTAGTGTGTGTTTGTGTGTGTGTATATATATGTGTGTGTGTGTGTGTGTGTAATTGTTTTATATGTAGCTGTATATGTCATTACTCACAGGTGGTTATAATGCGAGACTACAGTCATAAGAACGTGGTAGAGATGTACAAGAGTGCCCTGGTGGGGGAAGAGCTCTGGGTGATCATGGAGTACCTGCAGGGCGGCGCTCTAACCAACATCGTCTCAGAAACCAGGTAATCCGCTAGTCCAACACACCTGAGCGATGGACTCCTCAGATCATGTGTGCTGACGCTTCACTGAGTGACCACACGCAGAGAATAATACAATAATACACTGATGTCATTCAGAGCATAGATATCCATAATAAAGGCTAGATGTCTCGCCTGGCGGCCATCTTGCCACAGGCAGCTCGCTCACTCGTAACATTGTGTTTTAATGGCGCATGTACTTTTTAAATAACCATAACTTGCTCAATTTTCTACCGATTTTCAAACGGTTCGGTTTGTTATAAACGTCAGAGATGTAGTTATGACACTGCACACTTATGAATAATAAGTGTATCAATAAATAATCATCCAGAATTATAGCCACGTTAATAACGTTTGTAAGAAACCAAACCGTTTGTAAATCCGTCAAGATTTCAACGAGATAAGAGTATTTGTGTTCGTGCTGATCACTCATCTTACATCAGGCACCACAGAGCCTTGCCTGTGACAAGATGGCCGCCGGTGATGACGATAGAGACTCCGCCGTAAGACATCTAGCCTTTATTATGGAGATCTATGATTCAGACAGTCTAGAAATGCTCATCTTACGATCAGTCATATTATGGGATGTATGCTTTCTCTTTTGTATGTTCCCGTTCATTATAAAAAAAAAAAAAAGTTGTTACATTTAAAACTTTACATGAATGTTACCCCTGTAATAGCACACTTTCTAATATAGGCTATATTCAAAACTATCGAGACAAAATGCTGTATTTTTTTTTATTACAACACAAACTCTTGGATTCAGGGTTGCCTATGATGGTCACACACAAATGTAAAAATGACTCTGTGTTTACCCTATAATAGCCTAAAGCCTAAATGTTTTTGTCTGGCTTTTGGTTTTTATCGTATTGTTGTTGTTTATTGATGTTGCTTTTATTCTATAAGCTTCTCTAACCCTAACCCTAACTTGGTAGGTTATCATTTAAAGTAAGTAGATTTTGTAAAAAAAATAAAAAAAAAAATCTTTAAGATCAGTCCTTGCAAAACGTTCCCTGAAGCTCTTCTCTAGGCACAGCATCTTCAAGCACGCTCGCGTCTGCTGTAAAGCTGCAGGACAATATGGAAACTGTAAACTTTCACAAACTTTACCGTTGAGCTTTTATTGATGTTCCTCACACTCACTGCTTCATCTTTGCTCTAATTTTAAAACATCAAGTATTAAACGCCTGCGGAGAAGAAAGCCCAGATTGCAGTTTTTGTTTAATACGGTTTGTTATCATTATGCAATGTGAAGATGCAACGCATTAGACAACCATTCAATCCTAAAGCGTTAAAAAGCATTAATATTTTAGGTCGGTTTGATTTTTTTATGTTTTTGAACGAAGTCTCTTACTCAGCAAGACTGCATTTATTTGATCAAAAATACTGCGAAATAGTGAAATATTATTCCAGTGTAAATCAGCAGTTTTCTATGTGAATATACAGTAAAGTGTAATTTATTCCTGTGATCAAAGCTGAATTTTCAGCATCATTACTCCAGTCTTCAGTGTCACATGATCCTTCAGAAATCACTCTAATATGAGGATCTGATGCTCAAGAAACATTTATGATTATTATCAGTGTTGAAAACAGTCATATTTTTATGGAAACCATGATACATTTTATTTCTCATGATACTTTGATGAACAGAACATTTTAAAAGAGCAGGATTTATTTGAAATAGAATATTTTGTAACATTATAAATGTCTTTACTGTCACTTTTGATCAATTTTATCCATCCTTGTTGAAAGAAAGTTCTGTTTTTATTTATTTATTTTAAATCTTACTGAGCTCAAACCTTAGATCAGTAGTGTATGAAATGTGTACAGGTGAAACTCGAAAAATCAGAGTATCGTGCAAAAGTTCATTTATTTCAGTAATTCAACTTAAAAGCTGAAACTAATATATTATATAGACTCATTACATGCAAAGTGAGATATTTCAAGCCTTTATTTGTTATAATTGTGATGATTATGGTTTACAGATATGAAAACCTTTTCACAATATTCTAATTTTGACTTTGGGGTTTTCATAAGCTGTAAGCCATAATCATCACAATTATAACAAATAAAGGCTTGAAATATCTCACTTTGCATGTAATGAGTCTATATAATATATTAGTTTCACCTTTTAAGTTGAATTACTGAAATAAATGAACTTTTGCACCATATTCTCATTTTTTGAGTTTCACCTGTATTATACAGAGCCCTAAAAGGGACATGGTGATGGAAAAAATATTTTATATTATATAAAAATATATTTCAGTGTTTTTGCGTTCTCTCGCAAACTTTTACCACACATACAGATATATATATAACTGCTGAATTTCAGGAGTAGAAGGAGGCACAGCCCTTGTTTATATAGTGTGTGTGTGTGTGTGTGTGTGTGTTTAGACTAACAGAGGAGCAGATCGCGACGGTGTGTGAGTCCGTCTTGCAGGCGCTCTGTTATCTTCACGCTCAGGGCGTCATTCACAGAGACATCAAGAGTGACTCCATTTTACTGACACTGGACGGCAGGGTAAGATGAGTCTAATCTCAAACACAATCCTTCTGAATGTTAATCGTGGCAATTGTAAACATTATGGGAAGCACTCTGGCCAGACAGGATTTAAAGGGGTCATGAATGGCATTTTTTACAAAATTTTATAATGTTCTCTGAGATCCACTTATAATGTTATCAAGATTTTTAAAGTCCCCCTGTAGTCAATAATTTCATCCCTTAAAACTCACCAAAATTACATATTTAAAAGTTTTTTCCTTGAAAATAAATGTCGTCATGTCTTAAAATATCTTGAATGTAACTCGACACCCTTGCCTCATTTAGTATGCGTGGTTCTATGAATATGCAAATGAGCCCCGCCTCCACTCCCTCACTCAGCTCAAAGAGATCCACTGGTTGACGATCACACGTTGATCTGATTGGTTACAAGGTCGTTTGTGACGTCAGAAACACCAGCGATTTCAAACCGTGTTTTTGAGACTGAGACTACATAGTTGAAACAAAACATCTATGCGTATTTCATATGCTTTATAAGGCAAATAAAGTTGAAGTACTTTGATTTTCCAGTTATAATTGACAAAGAATGACTTACGATGTTTCGCGTAAACAGAATTTTGAATGAATGTACCATCGTTTGTCACACTGTCGTTCTCATTGGCTATTCATAGTTCATCCTGTTCGATAAAGAGAAAAACATGTGCATTGCTAATCAGTGGGCGGGGCTAAAGAGGCGATGATGTAGAAGTGGGCGTCGATCTTCTTTCGTCGCACTATGACATCATAACGTGAAAAAATTATTTTCTGAGCTTGGTTTCAATTAAAGCTGTTTTTGGACTAATGAGGAAGTTTTGAGTTCTGAAACTTACAGGATATTTTTATGGTATAATGACAGATCAAGAAACACTTTCGATTTCTCATTTCATGACCCCCTTTAAACTTTGTCGATGTTGATCGACCAAAACGCATCTTAATACCAGGTCTCAGAAATCGCCCAAATAATAACAGAGACACGGCAAGTGACGCATTGAATTAAATGTGAAATTTAGAAAGACTGAAATAGCATTTTCTTGTAAAACGTACTCCAGTAATGTGTGGAAAAGTCATTTAGTCTCTTTCTCTTTGTTTTAAAGGTCAAACTGTCCGACTTTGGATTCTGCGCTCAGATCAGCAAAGACATTCCCAAAAGGAAGTCGTTAGTGGGAACTCCATATTGGATGGCTCCGGAAGTGGTTTCGAAGACGCCGTACGGCACTGAGGTCAACAAACTCACTCGTGCATGAACATGCCATAAATGTAGCTTTTCATTGAATCAGATCACACGCAATGAAGCCAAGAGAGGGTTTGGAACACTTTACAATAAGGTCTCAGTTAGGTAATGCTTTCAATAATAAAGAGCAATATAAACCATTTAATCATCGTGTTAACTTTGGATTTTTAACATGTTGAAATGTCGCTCACTGGAGCTTTTATTCAGGATTACAGCGAATGGCTTCGATCGAAACAATAACAAAAGCAGCGTTTTCTATGTGCTTTCTTACGCATTATCCGATAATAATCCAGCGCATAAATGCCGAAGAAAAGGAAAGAACACAGTATTCAGTTTGACTGTGAGTAAAAATACTCAGTACGTATCCGGCGATCTTAACGAATAAGGTCTCAATTAGATAATGCATTCAATAACAAAGAACAATATAAACCATTCAATCATCTATGTTAACATAAATACAATTTTGGATTTTTAAAATGTTGAAATAAACATTAACTGAATAATAATAATAACTATTTTTACATAAAGTTAAAATAAAGCAGCTTTAAAGCAGCTTTTCAATGTGCTTTACATAATAGAACAAACAAATGGAAGCTTGTTTCCGCCACTGAATAAAAAAATAATTGCGACTTTTTATCTCACAATTCTGACTTTTTTTCTGATCTTTTCTCAGAATTGTGAGATATTAACTCGCAATTGCGAGTTATCAGGCCAATTCTAAGGGAAAAAAAGAGTAACTTTTTTCCCCTCAGAATAGTTTATATCTCACAATTCTGACTTTACAACACGCAATTCTGACTTTATATCTCACAATTCTGACTTTATTTCACGCTATTCTGACTTTATATCACGCAATTCTGACTTTATTTCACGCAATTCTGACTTTATATCTCGCAATTCTGACTTTATTTCACGCAATTCTGACTTTATTTCACGCAATTCTGACTTTATAGCTCGCAATTCTGACTTTATATCACGCAATTCTGACTTTATATCTCGCAATTCTGACTTTATATCTCACAATTCTGACTTTACAACACGCAATTCTGAATTTATAACCTGCAATTCTTACTTTATATCTTGCCATTCTGACTTTATATCTCGCAATTCTGACTTTATATCTCGCAATTCTGACTTTATTTCACGCAATTCTGACTTTATATCTTGCCATTCTGACTTTATATCTCGCAATTCTGACTTTATTTCACGCAATTCTGACTTTATATCTTGCCATTCTGACTTTATATCTCGCAATTCTGACTTTATATCTCGCAATTCTGACTTTATATCTCGCAATTCTGACTTTATTTCACGCAATTCTGATTTTATATCATGCAATTCTGACTATATCTCGCAATTCTGACTTTATATCTCGCAATTCTGACTTTATTTCACGCAATTCTGACTTTATTTCACGCAATTCTGACTTTATATCTTGCAATTCTGACTATATCTCGCAATTCTGACTTTATATCACGCAATTCTGACTTTATATCTCGCAATTCTGACTTTATATCTCGCAATTCTGACTTTATTTCACGCAATTCTGACTTTATTTCACGCAATTCTGACTTTATATCACGCAATTCTGACTTTATATCACGCAATTCTGACTTTATTTCACGCAATTCTGACTTTATATCTTGCAATTCTGACTTTACAACACGCAATTCTGAATTTATAACCTGCAATTCTGACTTTATATCTCGCAATTCTGACTTTATATCACGCAATTCTGACTTTATTTCACGCAATTCTGACTTTATATCACGCAATTCTGACTTTATATCTTGCAATTCTGACTATATCTCGCAATTCTGACTTTATATCTCGCAATTCTGACTTTATTTCACGCAATTCTGACTTTATATCTTGCAATTCTGACTATATCTCGCAATTCTGACTTTATATCTCGCAATTCTGACTTTATTTCACGCAATTCTGACTTTATATCTTGCAATTCTGACTTTACAACACGCAATTCTGACTTTATATCTCGCAATTCTGACTTTATATCTGGTAATTCTGACTTTATATCTCGCAATTCTGACTTTATTTCACGCAATTCTGATTTTATAACCAGCAATTCTGACTTTATTTCACGCAATTCTGACTTTATATCTTGCAATTCTCACTTTACAACACGCAATTCTGAATTTATAACCTGCAATTCTGACTTTATTTCACGCAATTCTGACTTTATATCTTGCAATTCTGACTTTATATCTCGCAATTCTGACTTTATATCTCGCAATTCTGACTTTATATCTCGCAATTCTGACTTTATTTCACGCAATTCTGACTTTATATCTTGCAATTCTGACTATATCTCGCAATTCTGACTTTATATCTCGCAATTCTGACTTTATTTCACGCAATTCTGACTTTATATCTTGCAATTCTGACTTTATAACTCGCAATTCTGACTTTATATCTCGCAATTCTGACTTTATATCTCGTAATTCTGACTTTATATCTCGCAATTCTGACTTTATTTCACGTAATTCTGATTTTATATCACGCAATTCTGACTTTATATCTCGCAATTCTGACTTTATTTCACGCAATTCTGACTTTATATCTCGCAATTCTGACTTTATATCTCGCAATTCTGACTTTATATCTCCCAATTCTGACTTTATATCTCGCAATTCTGACTTTATATCTCGCAATTCTGACTTTATATCTTGCAATTCTGACTTTATATCACACAATTCTGACTTTATAACCTGCAATTCTGACTTTATATCTCGCAATTCTGACTTTATATCTCGCAATTCTGACTTTATATCTCGCAATTCTGACTTTATATCTCGCAATTCTGACTTTATATCACACAATTCTGACTTTATATCTCACAATTCTGAATTTATAACCTGCAATTCTTACTTTATATCTCGCAATTCTGACTTTATTTCACGCAATTCTGACTTTATATCTTGCCATTCTGACTTTATATCTCGCAATTCTGACTTTATATCTCGCAATTCTGACTTTATATCTCGCAATTCTGACTTTATTTCACGCAATTCTGATTTTATATCATGCAATTCTGACTTTATATCTCGCAATTCTGACTTTATTTCACGCAATTCTGACTTTATTTCACGCAATTCTGACTTTATATCTCGCAATTCTGACTTTATATCACGCAATTCTGACTTTATATCACGCAATTCTGACTTTATATCTCGCAATTCTGACTTTATTTCACGCAATTCTGACTTTATTTCACGCAATTCTGACTTTATATCTCGCAATTCTGACTTTATATCACGCAATTCTGACTTTATATCTCGCAATTCTGACTTTATATCTCACAATTCTGACTTTACAACACGCAATTCTGAATTTATAACCTGCAATTCTTACTTTATATCTCGCAATTCTGACTTTATTTCACGCAATTCTGACTTTATATCTTGCCATTCTGACTTTATATCTCGCAATTCTGACTTTATATCTCGCAATTCTGACTTTATATCTCGCAATTCTGACTTTATTTCACGCAATTCTGATTTTATATCATGCAATTCTGACTTTATATCTCGCAATTCTGACTTTATTTCACGCAATTCTGACTTTATTTCACGCAATTCTGACTTTATATCTCGCAATTCTGACTTTATATCACGCAATTCTGACTTTATATCACGCAATTCTGACTTTATATCTCGCAATTCTGACTTTATATCACGCAATTCTGACTTTATATCACGCAATTCTGACTTTATATCTCGCAATTCTGACTTTATATCACGCAATTCTGACTTTATATCTCGCAATTCTGACTTTATTTCACGCAATTCTGACTTTATATCTCGCAATTCTGATTTTATATCTCGCAATTCTGACTTTATATCACGCAATTCTGACTTTATATCACGCAATTCTGACTTTATATCTCGCAATTCTGACTTTATATCACGCAATTCTGACTTTATATCACGCAATTCTGACTTTATATCTCGCAATTCTGACTTTATATCACGCAATTCTGACTTTATATCTCGCAATTCTGACTTTATATCACGCAATTCTGACTTTGTCTCGCAATTGTGAGAAAAAAGTCAGAATTGTGAGATAAAAAGTCGCAATTACCTTTTTTATTTTTCATTCTGTGGTGAAAACAAGCTTCCATACTATGAAGTTTAAATACAACACACACACACAAAAAGTCGAGTAAAAGCTAACCTAAAAAAATGCGTTTTTAAATGAGATTTAAAAATACTAGAGTCTGTGCATCTCTGATATTAAATTGATGTGCATGACTGAGATTAAAAAATGCTGTAAGTGTTAATTATATTATGCAGTTCATAATAATTAATATGTAATCCTATTCAATGAAAGCTGATAGTAAAGTGTTTGCTGAACAGAGGAGTGGTTCTGCTGAGGTGACGAGGCGTGTTGTCTGTAGGTGGACGTGTGGTCTCTGGGGATCATGGTGGTGGAGATGGTTGATGGAGAACCTCCATACTTCAGCGAGACGCCGATAGCAGCGATGAAGAGACTCCGGGACGAGCCGGCGCCGTCCGCCAGGAACACCAGCAAGGTACACACAACATGACAGCATTTCATGTACAGAGTGGCTGGAAGTGTTGAAGATTGTGGTATACCATTACAATAAGCTCTCATAATGCATCATCTAACATTAAGCAATAATGTTAAAACCCGTTACTCATTAAGAGAATAGAGACGACTCTTTTAGATCATGCGCCAGGAGCGCCGGCCATTTTTCCCGTCGTTAAACTAGCAGAAGTGGATTCGGACGCCCACCGTGCGCTCAGATAGTGAAAATAGGGCCCTAAATCTCATTAAGCAGATTTTTGGGGACTTTATGGTTATGATTCAATTTAGTGATTTTTATGTCAATTCATTCCTGCATGAAATCAGTGTTTTAGTATTATTTATATATGTTGTATACATAATGTAACCGACATTATTTTCCTATTCTCATGTGCTGTAATGCAGATCTCTCCAGTCCTGAGGGACTTCCTGGACTCGATGTTGACGCGTGACCCCGTGCAGAGAGCCAGCGCTGGCGATCTCCTGCAACACCTCTTCATGCTCCAGTGCTCGTCTCCGCGCTGTCTGGTGCCGCTGGTGGAGCAGTACCGCAAGCGCATGTCCCGATGCTGAGCACCGCCCACCTGAACCGCTACGTCCCGATGCTGAGCACCGCCCACCTGAACCGCTACGTCCCGATGCTGAGCTCCGCCCACCTGAACCGCTACGTCCCGATGCTGAGCTCCGCCCACCTGAACCGCTACATCCCGATGCTGAGCACCGCCCACCTGAACCGCTACGTCCCGATGCTGAGCTCCGCCCACCTGAACCGCTACGTCCCGATGCTGAGCACCGCCCACCTGAACCGCTACATCCCGATGCTGAGCACCGCCCACCTGAACCGCTACGTCCCGATGCTGAGCTCCGCCCACCTGAACCGCTACATCCCGATGCTGAGCACCGCCCACCTGAACCGCTACGTCCCGATGCTGAGCACCGCCCACCTGAACCGCTACGTCCCGATGCTGAGCTCCGCCCACCTGAACCGCTACGTCCCGATGCTGAGCACCGCCCACCTGAACCGCTACATCCCGATGCTGAGCTCCGCCCACCTGAACCGCTACGTCCCGATGCTGAGCACCGCCCACCTGAACCGCTACGTCCCGATGCTGAGCTCCGCCCACCTGAACCGCTACATCCCGATGCTGAGCACCGCCCACCTGAACCGCTACGTCCCGATGCTGAGCTCCGCCCACCTGAACCGCTACGTCCCGATGCTGAGCACCGCCCACCTGAACCGCTACATCCCGATGCTGAGCACCGCCCACCTGAACCGCTACGTCCCGATGCTGAGCACCGCCCACCTGAACCGCTACGTCCCGATGCTGAGCACCGCCCACCTGAACCGCTACATCCCGATGCTGAGCACCGCCCACCTGAACCGCTACGTCCCGATGCTGAGCTCCGCCCACCTGAACCGCTACGTCCCGATGCTGAGCTCCGCCCACCTGAACCGCTACGTCCCGATGCTGAGCACCGCCCACCTGAACCGCTACGTCCCGATGCTGAGCTCCGCCCACCTGAACCGCTACATCCCGATGCTGAGCACCGCCCACCTGAACCGCTACGTCCCGATGCTGAGCTCCGCCCACCTGAACCGCTACGTCCCGATGCTGAGCACCGCCCACCTGAACCGCTACATCCCGATGCTGAGCACCGCCCACCTGAACCGCTACGTCCCGATGCTGAGCACCGCCCACCTGAACCGCTACGTCCCGATGCTGAGCACCGCCCACCTGAACCGCTACGTCCCGATGCTGAGCACCGCCCACCTGAACCGCTACATCCCGATGCTGAGCACCGCCCACCTGAACCGCTACGTCCCGATGCTGAGCACCGCCCACCTGAACCGCTACGTCCCGATGCTGAGCTCCGGCCCATCCACGCTGTTACCCACGGCCCGTACCGACCTGCGCGGTGTCTCGAAAGCATCGTTAGCCAAATATGGTCGTTATCAGCAGTTCAACGAGTCAGTGTTTCCCGAAACCATCGTTCCAACGAACATTCGCAAACAGCATCGCAGAGGTGTGTGTGTGAGCGACAGCATCGCAGAGGTGTGTGTGTGAGTGACAGATCTCGACCTGCAGTTAGAAGCAGTTTCTTGTTTGCATGACATGTGGACTCAATAAATCCTGATCTTGAGCAAAATGAGCAAGCGGACATTCAGTGCAAACTGTCTTTTACGTCTTTGAGTTTGTCGAGAGATTTAAAGCGTCGTGTTTGAAGAGTGCGCGTGTGTGAACGAGCTCTAGTGTGTGTGAACGAGGTCTAGTGTGTGTGAACGAGCTCTAGTGTGTGTGAACGAGCTCTAGTGTGTGTGAACGAGTCTATGATTGAATCTGGAAATAAAGCAAAATAACTGAGAAACATGAGAAATATTACTCAGATGCATGTCTGTAATTTATAGCAAAGCATCTAGCGTTAATTTGATCTCAGACAGATTCATTAACAGTAGTTATTACTCCACCATGTGTGTGACATCATTAACCAACGTGGTTTGAACGACCAGTTTGCGACACTATGGTTTCGGGAAACAGTCGAGACGAGCGAGATGATTTCTCCAACGATGCATCGCTCTATAGTAGTGAAGCACGAGTTACAGCGCTGTACGGGACACACACTCCTGAACCGTAGCCAGCCAGCCGGAGTTCTGTGGCGTTGTGTTTCCAATCCACTGAAACAATGACCTGAACTGTTTACATTCCCAGTGGAAACCATCAGTTCACCTGAAACTGAACATGCAGCCAGCATTTATTTATCTTCATTTTATTGCATTGGACCTTAGTCAGGTTAGACGCCATGTTGAATTTAGTTTATTGTGGATGGACTTAAAGCCCTGGTGTAGGCCACTTCAAGCGAACTGCTGTGACGTCATTAGCCGTGTTTCCACTGTCGGGCCAAACGCGGGTTTGCTAGTGCGTGTCGGGCCAGTCGCGTTTCCACCGTCACTTTCGGGCCTCGTCTGGGTTTGGGGCCCTTTAATTATTTCCCCAAAAAACAAGACTTAATATCTTATGTCATTTTTCTACTTTATTTACTGCATCTTGATTTAAGAAATGTTTGATATTTGGACTGGAAACAAGACAAAAGTACTAAGTAAGAACAGAATTTTTTGCAGTGTGGCTCTGGGCAGATCCAATAGTTTTAAACTTTAACAGAGTAGACGTCAGCGACAGCGCCGGATGATGACATATAGGCCAGCTAACATCCGCATTAAAGACTTTTAACATCATTTTAGCTCAAAACTCACTTTCATGTTTGAATTCCTTCTGTTTGTGGTCCGATGTGGATTCTGATCACCGTATAATGAGATACGTGATGCAAAAGACTATGCGAGCTAACCATTAGCTATCATAGTAAATACGACCGCTTGAAGAAATCTGACGGCTATCACAATCATGTTTTTATTTTATCTGTCAGTCAGTCTCGTCTCTTTATACCAGACTGTTTGATATCATATTTAGCTCTGCATATGTCATAAAATCAAGCAACTCAAATAAACAGAAAAGACGCGACTAAATAAGTACAGTACGTCCTCTTTCTTTATTTGTGTGTGCCTAATGTGCAGTCTTGACACAAGTTAATTCATTATGATCAATGTATCACTTTTTAATGTTAACCTGTGGTAAAACAGATGCTTGGGTTTTAAATCTTTAAGCAAACAACAAAAACGCCAGCAAACGGCCGCTTTTATCATGTTCGTTTCGCGATCTCGCTAGTTTCCAGTGATTTCTTTCTGATTAGTTTTTTTTGGATACATCTTCCATTTGTTGGTGAAATGATGGGTGTGTGTGACGTTGTTCCAGAGAGGCGTGTTACTGGCGTGTTTTAGTGAAGCTAATGGCCCGACGGTGGAAATACGGCTATTTAGAGCAAAATCGGGCCTAAACAAAGTTAATTTCCTGAGTTTGAAACCGCTTGCCAAAGTGAAGAAAAATTCGCTCCGGCTGGTAAACACCTTTGAACTGCCATTGGTCCGTGGTGATGATGTAATAAGTGGGTGTGGCTCTGAAGCTCCGCCTTCTTTGTTGTGGAAATCTCCGGTTCATTTCTTCTGTTGAGCGCAAGAGAAACCAAACACTGGAGAGCCACTTCATAGTAGAAACTGAAGTGTAATTCTAATTGAAAGCAACATTGAACACTGTTTTTTCATGTTTAAAATGGTAAAGCTGCTTGCTTTTAAACGATCTATTGTATAAAGTGTTATACAGGTGAAACTCGAAAGTTCATTTATTTCAGTAATTCAACTTAAAAGGTGAAACTAATATATTATATAGACTCATTACATGCAAAGTGAGATATTTCAAGCCTTTATTTGTTATAATTGTGATGATTATGGCTTGCAGCTTATGAAAACCCCAAAGTCAAAATTAGAATATTGTGAAAAGGTTTTCATATCTGTAAGCCATAATCATCACAATTATAACAAATAAAGGCTTGAAATATCTCACTTTGCATGTAATGAGTCTATATAATATATTAGTTTCACCTTTTAAGTTGAATTACTGAAATAAATTAACTTTTGCACGATATTATAATGTTTCGAGTTTCAAGATGATCAGATGCTTTCTGAACTGCTGTTTTCTCACCGCTGTCATTTTTGTTGTTAAATTATTGTGTTATTGCGAGGAAAGCATGCAGCACATATTTACATATTCACCTAAACATCGCTTTTAACGCGTATTTTTAACTTTTTACCTCAAAGCGATGAACGAAAAAGAGCTTCTCCTATTGGGCCTTTGCAGTCTTAACAATGTCAAGCACCGTATAAACGTCTAAGATCGTGTAGTTTTCACAACTCAACACAGCTTGTATGTTTTTAAACAACAGTATAATCTTTGAACGCACTGTATTTACCCCTCGCAGCCTCGATTTCTTCCTCTCAACACTGAAATACGGCGCTTCCCTGATTAAGGTCTATTGCATCAGAATGAAGCGCAATTTTGAATCTTTTCTAGTCTTAAAACATTATGCATATGCTGGTTATTAAATGCATCTGATGAATTGTTCACAATGAGATCAGAAACATGCAATTATGAGGTCATTCATGTTGATTTTGATTTTAAAATGTAACTTTTTATTGCTGTACAGTAAGATAAATGTGCCATTGTATTTGTGAAACTAAACCCCTACTTTCAGACACTGAATGATGTTTTGGTCTTCCAAGATGTAAAAGGACAATAAATGATTTTTATAATTCAGCACATACAAATGTAACTTTCTAAAAGCAAGCATTACATTTACGAAATGCATTTTATTGTATTGAATTGCATGGTTTAAACATGGCGTGTCATGTGAACTACTTAACCACAGTACAGCTACAGGAAGATGTTAAAGGGATAGTTCACTTTGAAATTAATTTTTGGTATGTTTTAGCTTACCTCAAGGGCATCCAAGATGTTGGTGTCTTTGTTTCCGCAGTAGTTTCAATTTTGATATTTTTAGGTCAAACCGTTCTTGTCTGTCAGTCATATAATGCAGGTCTATGGTCACCACCTCAAAGAGCAGCACAGAGAAGTCCAAATTAAACATGATTTAATGACTCGTAAATGTAAGTACACATTGATGGCCTAAGACACGAAACGAGCGGTTTGTGTGAGAATACGAACAGTATTTATATCGTTTTTACCTCTTGTAAACACAGCCACGTCCAAGTGATCTGAGGGCGCCGGCGCTTCGGTCTGAGCAAGCGAAAAGAATTCAACGTTCAATATATCGAAATCGCCTTCCATTGCCATTTCCTGTATATCTAAATATGTTTAGATCTTCACAGTGAAAGGTAACACTTCCGAGATCTCTGTGTAAACAATGAGTGACGTACACACGCGAGAGATCACTTCCAGACCGAAGCGCCGGCGCCCTCAGATCACTTGGACGTGGCTGTGGTTACAAGAGGTAACAACGATATAAATACTGTTCGTTTTCTCACACAAACCGCTCGTTTCGTGTCTTAGGCCATCAATGTGTACTTACATTTACGAGTCATTAAATCATGTTTAATTTGGACTTCTCTGTGCTGCTCTTTGAGGTGGAGACCATAGACCTGCATTATATGACTGACAGACAAGAACGGTTTGACCTAAAAATATCAAAATTGAAACTAGTGCGGAAACAAAGACACCTACATCTTGGATGCCCTTGAGGTAAGCTAAAAAATACCAAAAACGTATTTCAAAGTGAACTATCCCTTTAAAGCATGTCTGATGATTGATGTCTGTTTAATAAGAGCCTTGTTTCATAATTATAATACTTTAGATCAAGCTCAGATTAAGAGCTGTTCATGCAGTTCGTTTCAAACGGTCCAATAACTCTCACAGGTGTATCGCCTTCCAGCTATTATTATTCTGTAATCCGTGGCAGTCGTTCTGACCACACATGGATTGAATCAGCGGTTGTGTTGCATGAACATGTAAGGGATGAAGTGTGTGAGCATACACACTTATGTGGCGGTATGTCAGCTAATCTTCCACCTGATAAGCTTGTTAGTTACTTATGTAGCACTTAAATGCTTGAAGCTCGCTACTGGGGCTTCGAAAGGACATATCTGTAAATGAATATGCTTTACAAAAACCTGTTTGTCATGCAAAAAATGATTCTGTGGTGACGTAAATCAAATGCCACTGAAAAACATGTAATTTCTGCATGAAAACAGTAGTTCAGGCAAGAATATAAATCATATATTAGAACTCAATTCAAGCTTGTAGAAATTAAAGCGTAAATCTCAACGATATAAAATTAAGTAAAACCTACTCAACTTTTCTAATACTGGTGTTCCCATCATCCACTGGGGTATGAATAATTAATAAGGTTGATTGTTCACTGTTTTCCAGCTGTTTTTACACTGTTTTATCATTTCGGTTGTTGTTAGGTTTGGTAACTTGCCATTTTGTGACATCTGGATTCATTTTCTACTCAAAATGACACATTCATACTCATAAACGATCTATCGAATGTTACCGTCATTGTGCACCGTCAAGTATTGAAGTCTCAGTGTCCGGGGATCATATTACTTCAATATCTATTGTGTTATTTACTTATATGTTTCTAAGTAAAGCATACACTTTAAAAGTGTGGTTTAATCCGGTGTTATATTGTGCGAGTAAAAAGTAAATTTACTTAACTTAGTTAAGTAGATGTTACTTAATTCAAAATGTGAATATTATAGTAAAATGTACTTAATTACTTCAATTAAATGTCAAATGAATGTTAAGTTCAATAGTAAGCATATTTTAATTGATAATAACAGGTAAGGTGTACAGAACAGTAGCAGTAAATTTTACTTAAAATGTGTTACTGCAAATTGTTACAAGGATTGTATTAAGAAAAGTTATTATTTTCAGTGAATGCTGTATAGTAAAATCTGTAAAATGTTTTTGCTTACATCATTTTATTAGGAGCACCGGCCTTCATTCATGAAATAAGTGTGTACATCATTCATAAAACAGTTTTTGAATTGAATGAATGAGGAATTGAAGTTACAGATGAGTTGCACTGTTCTGTTTCTTGTTTCATAAGTGAGGCTCAGTGAAGGCAGATAATAGAAGAGGAACGGACTTCTCTTCATTCTTGCGTTCTATTTCGAGGGTGTTTTTGAGTGGAGATGAGTCGAGACGTCCTTCATGCCGAGGTGTCTGCCGCGTTTATCAGAGGACCTTTGATAAAGTCCCTGCTATGCAGTCAAACACTGATAAAAGCCAAACAGATTCCCCACTTTCAACTCCCATTAAAGCACAACAGCTTTGTCTTACTTTAACATTACATGATCTGTTTTTGTTTAGCATTGCATGCACAATATTTTCTTATATTATTATGTCATATAAAGGTGAAACTCGAAAAATTAGAATATGGTGCAAAAGTTCATTTATTTCAGTAATTCAACTTAAAAGGTGAAACTAATATATTATATAGACTCATTACATGCAAAGTGAGATATTTCAAGCCTTTGTTATAAAATTAGAATATTGTGAAAAGGGTTTCATATCTGTAAGCCATAATCATCACAATTATAACAAATCATATAGTAATAATATAAAATAAAGTAATATTTTATGTTTGCTGAAAGAAGTCACTCCTCACTAAGGCTGCATTTATTTAATAAAAAATACAGTAAAATTGTGAAATATTATTACAATTTAAAATAGCTGTTTTCTCTGTGATTATATAGTGAAATGTAATTTATTTCCAGTGATCAAAGCTGTATTTTCAGCATCATTACTCCAGTCTTCAGTGTCACATGATCCTTCAGAAATCACTCTAATACGATGATTTGCTGCTCAAGTAATATTTTATAAATTTTGAAAAACAGCTGTGCTTCTTCGTATTTTTTATTTTCCAGGATTCTTTGAAGAATGGAATTTTAAATGTCTTAACTGTTACTTTTGATAAATGTAATGCATCCTTGCTGAATACTAGTTTTACATTCTTTCAAAGAAAAACAAATCTTGCATGAATGAAAACACAATGGGGTCCAAAAATCGGAGACCAGAAAATAACAAATGAAATATTTCTATTTTGCATATTTTTATTACAAATGATATGACAATTTGACCAAAAAATGCTAATTTGCTATAATTTGCAATAATTTGCAATGCTAATTTGTTATATAGAAACATAAAAAAGTAACCACATTAATTACAAGCTAAATTTGAGGATCATGCCTAATGTTAGAGGTATGTCTGATATATTTAAAGGATGGAAACAACCAAGGTGGTGTTAGTTTTCTATATAAGGATATTAACAACTAAAGGTTGTGTTGCTGACCCCACACTTCTTTTAACTCTTGATAATCCCTGTGCCTGTGTTCTTTCCTTTCACATCCTTATTTAGATCTCTGTTACCCTCTATAAAAACCAAGCACTAGTGGTTTGTGACTCTAAAGTTTCCTCAGCCGAGGAGTGTTCATCAACTCTCGCTGTACCTGGAAATTATCAAGCAGACACTATGGGTGATGCTATGATGGCACAGTTCGGAAAGGCTGCTCCCTTCCTGAGGAAGTCGGATAAAGAGCGTCTCGAAGCTCAGACAAGAGCCTTTGACATCAAGACCGAATGCTTTGTTGTGGATGAAAAGGTGGAGTTTATGAAGGGGAAAATTGTCAGCAAGGAAGGAGGGAAGGCTACCGTTAACACTGAGGATGGGAGAACAGTGACCGTCAAGGATGGAGACGTCCATCCCCAGAACCCGCCTAAATTCGATAAAATCGAAGACATGGCGATGCTCACTTTCCTTCACGAGCCTGCAGTGCTGTTCAACCTCAAAGAGCGTTATGCAGCCTGGATGATCTACACCTACTCGGGGCTGTTCTGTGTCACGGTCAACCCTTACAAGTGGTTACCTGTGTACGACTCAGAAGTAGTCTCTGCCTACAGAGGTAAGAAAAGAACAGAGGCCCCACCTCACATCTTTTCTATCTCAGATAATGCTTATCAATACATGTTAACCGATCGGGAGAACCAGTCGGTCCTCATCACTGGAGAATCCGGTGCTGGGAAGACCGTCAACACCAAGAGGGTCATCCAGTATTTTGCAAGCATTGCTGCCGCTGGTGGAGCGACTGGAAAGAAAGACTCTAGCAAGGGAACCCTGGAAGATCAGATTATTCAGGCTAATCCTGCACTGGAGGCTTTTGGCAATGCTAAAACACTCAGAAATGACAACTCTTCTCGCTTTGGGAAATTCATCCGCATTCATTTTGGGACAAGCGGCAAACTCGCTTCGGCTGACGTCGAAACATACCTGCTGGAGAAGTCTCGGGTGACCTTTCAGCTGAAGTCTGAGAGGAACTACCATATCTTCTTCCAAATACTGTCCAATGAAAAGCCTGAATTGCTGGACATGCTGTTGATAACTAATAATCCATATGACTACTCTTACATCTCCCAAGGAGAAGTAACCGTCGCATCCATCAATGACAACGAGGAGCTGATTGCTACTGACCAGGCATTTGATGTTCTTGGCTTCACATCTGAAGAAAAGATGGGAGTCTACAAGCTGACAGGTGCTATCATGCACTATGGCAATCTGAAATTCAAGCAGAAACAGCGTGAAGAGCAGGCAGAGCCTGACGGTACTGAAGATGCAGATAAGGCAGCTTATCTAATGGGGCTGAACTCTGCTGACCTTCTCAAAGGACTCTGCCATCCGAGGGTCAAGGTGGGCAATGAGTATGTTACTAAAGGACAGAGCGTGGACCAAGTGTATTACTCTGTTGGTGCACTGGCAAAGTCAGTGTATGAGAAAATGTTCAACTGGATGGTGGTAAGAATTAACCATTCCCTTGACACCAAGCAACATCGCCAGCATTTCATTGGTGTGCTAGACATAGCAGGCTTTGAGATCTTTGATTTCAACACATTTGAACAACTCTGCATCAATTTTACAAATGAAAAGCTGCAACAGTTTTTCAATCATCACATGTTTGTCCTGGAACAAGAGGAATATAAAAAAGAGGGAATTGATTGGGAGTTTATTGACTTTGGGATGGATCTGCAAGCTTGCATCGAATTGATTGAGAAACCCCTAGGGATCATGTCCATTCTGGAGGAAGAGTGTATGTTTCCAAAGGCCAGCGATCAGACTTTCAAAGCAAAGCTGTATGACAACCACCTGGGCAAGACAAACATTTTCCAGAAGCCACGAGTTGTGAAGGGAAAGGCAGAGGCACACTTTGCCTTAGCCCATTATGCAGGTACTGTTGACTATAATATTAGCGGCTGGCTGGTGAAAAACAGAGACCCATTAAATGAAACAGTAGTCGGGCTCTATCAGAAGTCTTCTTTGAAGTTGTTGAGTCTTCTATTCTCAAGTTATGCAGGAGATGCATCTGAAAAGTCAGGTGGGAAAGGGGCCAAGAAGAAGGGGTCATCTTTTCAGACAGTGTCTGCCCTGCACAGAGAAAACCTCAACAAATTAATGACCAATCTGAAAACCACACACCCACACTTTGTTCGCTGTTTGATTCCAAATGAGAGCAAGATTCCTGGAATCATGGACAACTGCCTGGTCATGCACCAGCTTCGCTGCAATGGTGTACTAGAGGGTATTAGGATTTGCAGAAAAGGATTCCCAAACAGAATCCTCTATGGGGATTTCAAACAGAGGTACAGAATCCTAAATGCATCTGCCATCCCAGAAGGACAGTTCCTTGAGAACAAGAAGAGTGCCGAGAAGCTATTGGGGTCACTAGACATTGACCACACCCAATACAAATTTGGCAACACAAAAGTCTTTTTTAAAGCTGGCCTGCTCGGTACGTTAGAGGAGATGCGAGATGACCAACTCGCTCGTATCCTCACTGGGATCCAAGCTTACACTCGTGGATTACTGATGAGAATCGAGTACCAGAAACTGGTGGAGCGCAGAGATGCCCTCATGGTCATTCAGTGGAACCTTCGGTCCTTCCTCGGTGTGAAAAACTGGCCGTGGATGAAATTATTCTTTAAGATAAAACCCTTGCTGAAGAGTGCTGAGTCTGAAAAGGAGATGGCAAACATGAAAGACGAATTCAATAAGTTAAAGGAAGCTTTGGAGAAATCTGAGGCCAGGAGGAAAGAGTTAGAAGAGAAAATGGTCAGTCTGCTTCAAGAGAAGAATGATGTGTTCCTTCAGCTGCAATCTGAGCAAGACACCCTAACTGACGCTGAGGAACGATGTGAACAGCTCATAAAAAGCAAGATCCAACTAGAAGCCAAAGTCAAAGAGCTGTCAGAACGTATAGATGACGAGGAAGAGATAAATGCAGACCTCACAGCTAAGAAACGCAAGTTGGAGGATGAATGTTCAGAGCTCAAGAGAGATATAGATGACCTGGAGCTGACACTGGCCAAGGTGGAAAAGGAAAAACATGCCACTGAGAACAAAGTAAAGAATCTGACTGAGGAAATGGCATCCCTTGATGAAAACATAATGAAACTCACCAAAGAGAAAAAAGCTCTACAAGAGGCTCACCAGCAAACACTGGATGACCTTCAAAGTGAGGAGGACAAAGTCAATGCATTGACAAAAGCTAAAGTTAAGCTTGAACAACAGGTGGATGACCTTGAGGGCTCATTGGAACAGGAAAAAAAAGTTAGGATGGACTTGGAGCGCAGCAAGAGAAAACTGGAAGGAGATGTAAAACTGACTCAGGAGAATGTTATGGATTTGGAGAATGACAAACAGCAGCTAGAGGAAAAACTTAAAAAGAAAGACTTTGAAATGAATCAGCTGAATGGAAAGATTGAAGATGAGCAAACGGCTTCAGTGCAGTTGCAGAAAAAATTAAAAGAAAATCAAGCTCGAATCGAAGAACTGGAGGAGGAGCTGGATGCGGAACGTGCGGCTCGTGCAAAGGTGGAGAAACAGCGATCTGATATTTCCCGAGAACTGGAAGACATCAGCGAGCGCCTGGAGGAGGCAGGTGGGGCAACATCTGTTCAGGTAGAACTCAGTAAAAAAAGGGAGGCTGAGTTTCAGAGGTTACGGCGGGACCTCGAGGAATCCACCCTTCAGCATGAGACCACTACCGCCTCTCTTCGGAAGAAGCATGCAGACAGTGTTGCTGAACTAGGGGAACAGATTGACAATTTGCAAAGGGTAAAACAAAAGTTAGAGAAAGACAAAGTTGAATTGAAGCTGGAATTGGATGACCTTTCCTCAAACATGGAGAGCGTTGTAAAGGCCAAGGTAAATCTTGAAAAGATGTGCCGTTCACTGGAAGATCAGATGAATGAGCATAGGTCGAAATCTGAAGAAGCCCAGAGAGCTCTTAATGATTTGTCTACCCAGAAAGCCAAGCTGCTGACTGAAAATGGGGAACTTGGACGACAAATGGAGGAGAAGGAATGTCTGATTTCCCAACTCACTAGAGGAAAGACTTCCTACACACAGCAACTTGAAGATCTGAGGAGGCAACTTGAGGAAGAGGTGAAAGCAAAAAATGCTCTTGCTCACGCTGTACAGTCAGCCCGTCATGATTGTGACTTACTCAGGGAGCAATTCGAAGAGGAGCAAGAAGCAAAAGCTGAGCTCCAACGAGCCTTATCAAAGGCCAATACAGAGGTAGCAACATGGAGGGCGAGGTATGAGACTGACGGGATTCAGAAGACCGAGGAACTGGAGGAAGCCAAAAAGAAACTTGTTCAAAAATTGCAAGAAGCAGAGGACGCAGTGGAAGCAGTGAATGCGAAGTGTTCTTCTCTTGAGAAAACAAAACATAGGCTACAAAACGAGATTGAAGATCTGATGCTAGACCTCGAACGGTCAAATGCAGCGTCTGCCGCCCTGGACAAAAAACAGAGATCATTCGACAAAGTCATTGCAGAGTGTAAACAAAAGTATGAAGAGTCACAATGTGAGCTCGAGGGAGCGCAAAAGGAAGCTCGCAGCTTAAGTACCGAGCTCTTTAAGCTGAAGAATTCCTATGAAGAAACTCTAGATCACCTTGAGACCATCAAGAGGGAAAACAAGAATCTACAGGAGGAAATCTCTGACTTGACGGATCAAGTGGGGGAAGGACGAAAGAGTGTTCATGAGTTGGAAAAACTGAGGAAACAGTTAGAACAGGAGAAAGCCGAGTTGCAGTCCGCACTAGAAGAAGCTGATGCTTCAGTTGAGCACGAGGAGGGTAAGATCCTACGAGCTCAGCTGGAGTTCAACCAGATGAAGGCAGATGTTGAGCGTAAGATGGCTGAGAAGGATGAGGAAATGGAACAAGCTAAAAGAAACTACCAACGCATGGTTGAGTCCTTGCAGGCTTCTCTTGAGGCAGAGACGAGAAGCCGTAATGAAGCCTTGAGAGTAAAAAAGAAGATGGAGGGAGACCTTAATGAAATGGAAATTCAATTAAGCCAGGCCAACAGACAGGCATCTGATGCCCAGAAGCAGCTGAAGATGATCCAATCTTGCCTAAAAGACACTCAACTCCAGATGGACGACACACTTCACAGTAATGATGATCTCAAAGAAAACATTGCCTTGTTTGAGCGGAGGAACAACCTGATTCAAGCAGAACTAGAAGAGCTGAGAGCCGTGCTGGAACAGACAGAGAGGGTTCGCAAACTAGCAGAGCAAGAACTTACTGAAGCAACTGAGAGGATGCAACTCTTGCACTCCCAAAACACTAGCCTCATCAACCAAAAGAAGAAGCAAGAATCAGATCTTCTTCAGCTGCAAAATGAAATGGAGGAGCTGGTGCAAGAGAACCGCAATGCAGATGAAAAGGCGAAAAAAGCCATCACTGATGCCGCTATGATGGCTGAGGAGTTGAAGAAAGAGCAAGACACTAGTGCACACCTTGAAAGGATGAAAAAGAACATGGAACAGACCATTAAGGACTTACAGCACCGTCTTGATGAAGCCGAGCAAGTCGCTATGAAAGGAGGGAAGAAGCAGCTACAGAAAATGGAGGCACGTATCCGTGACCTTGAGAATGAGTTGGACGCGGAGCAAAAGCGAGGCTCTGAGGCCATTAAAGGTGTGAGAAAGTATGATCGACGCATTAAGGAGCTGACTTATCAGACAGACGAGGATCGCAAAAACTTGGCAAGGCTGCAGGACTTGGTGGACAAGCTACAACTGAAAGTAAAATCCTACAAACGGTCTGCTGAGGAAGCCGAGGAACAGGCAAATGCCAACTTGGCTAAATTACGCAAACTGCAGCACGAGCTAGAAGAGGCAGAAGAGCGCGCAGACATCGCAGAATCTCAAGTAAACAAACTGCGTGCTAAAACAAGAGATGGAGTACCTGGGAAGAAATCCCTGGATGAGTAATGTTCAGTCTTGAGTAGTTGTGCAATCACACCTAGATTTGTTTGTTCACTAGTTTTAAGATTAGCACATCTACAAATACACTTTATTTTACAATTGTGGCTAAAGCTTTAAACATTAGTCAAACCATAAATGGTCACCCATTTTGGTGTCTGCATCAAAAAAACTTGCTAATTCATAAATAAAAAAACGTATTAAATGCAAGTGTCTACTTTCATGTTTCAAATAACTTAACATTTTCAAAGTGTAAAATTGTCATTCAGTGTAATGGTCTCTGGACTTTGATTTTACCATTACATCTTTAAATAAACATAAAATACCAATATTTGTTTTCTTGGCATTTTCAAATAAGTGTTGGCTGTGTTATATTACAAGGACTGTCTTGCTGGGTTTTTTTTTCAATATTGAAATAACCCGGGGACTTTTGTCCTGAATCCAGCTTTTAATGTTGTTTATGTGTCTATGTGGTGTTTTTAATACGCTTTAAGACAAACCATGTGTAAGTTCATAAGTCGACAGCATTGCTGAGTATTTTCTGCTTAAAACTGCAGTGAACCAAAGACAGTCTCAAAAACACGGTTTGAAATCGCTGGTGTTTCTGACGTCACAAACGACCTTGTAACCAATCAGATCAACGTGTGATCGTCAACCAGTGGATCTCTGAGCTGAGGGAGTGGGGGCGGGGCTCATTTGCATATTCATACAACCGCGCATACTAAATGAGGCGAGGGTGTCGAGTTACATTCAAGATATTTTAAGGCATGAACCTTTTTGTGTCACCCACCCAAATGTGATTGAACAATAACATAAAACCAACACTCAAGATTGAAATTTTTGCTTAGAATTTAAAAAATAAATGTACATGTTAAAACTAGGGCTGTCAAATGATTAATCGTGATTAATCACATCCAAAATAAAAGTTTTTTTACACAATATATGTGGGTGCACTGTGTATAATTATTTTATATATATAAATACACACACATGCTTGTATATATTTAAGAAATATTTTCATGTATATACTGTATATAGATTTATATATAATTTATATTATATATAAATATAAATATTTTATATATAAATAATATTTTTTTCTTAAATATACATGCATGTGTGTGTATTTATATATATACAAAATAATTATACACAGTGCACCCACATATATTATGTAAAAAAAACTTTTATTTTGGATGTGATTAATCGTGATTAATCATTTGACAGCCCTAGTTAAAACCAAAATAAAAGAAAATACTTTTAAATCACAAATCCTATTCTTGTTCATCACACTACAAGATATGGCAACACAATATATGAAGACAAAAAAAAAAGACAAGACTTCAGTTATTCCAGTTATTTTCACATTTTATTTTAGCTGACCAAAAGCAATTGAAAAATTGTTTCAGGCCAACCACATTTCAAATGGGAGCAGCATTTCATACAAAAATAGGACAAACATGTGACCATCTCTTCAGCAGTGACGACAAACTGGAAAAAGAAACATCTAAAACTATTCAAATTAGAATCATTTCAACACTTCTGCAACTCAGTAAAATACAAGTTATTTACATTTCTCACAGAAGATATCACACATATTTAATCTTCAAAGCATCTCTCTCTCTAAACTTCCCTTTTTTATCAAACACTGCATATTTACATTTAATACAATCCATAACCGTTACAAAAAGAGCAGCATTTCTTTAAAAGCCTTTGCAAGCTCGTTCTATACGCTTCTTTTCCAATTGCATGTTTTAGTCTGACATGATCAACTGTATATATATATACACAAACATAAAATATATATTGATTTACAGTATAAATCAGAGACAACCGACATGCTTCCGTCAATCAAAAGACGTGACTTAAACACAGCAGTTCGTTTTTCATAGTAATAGCAGTATAGATGGTTACACTGGGCCAGATATCCCAACAATTTAATAAGTTACAGAAAACATGCAAATATTGCAGTCATTTTGTAGATCATAGATCATAAACTATGGGCAGGAGACGCACGGACGAGGAAAGTACTTGCATTGAGGTGGACAGGATTATACTTGTGGACAATTCTTTTTTTAAACCAAATTAGGTTTTATTATTTAAGCCAATACAATTCAAGTAGACAACAGAAACTTTTGGAAAACATAATTGGGTTTCTGTCCACCATATTCATTGCACAAGATGATGTCAGTTTAACACTGGGCCGAGATATCGCAACCTTTCAGGCAATTTCACCAGCAGCTTCAACTAAAAAAAGTAAAAGAATAACTAAAAGACTAAATTCCCCAGTGACAGAATCACATTTGTCAATGTCTAGGTGGGGTTGAGAGAACAATGAGATGAAAGTCAACCAAAAAAATACATAAAATGACCTAAGACATTACAGTCTTGCTTTCATTCACATGGACTTAAAAATGCGGTCCGACCAGACTAAAGTTACCAAAGAGGAATTGGTTTAGACACTCGTTTCTCTTCAACGCAGCAAAAAAATACCAAATTCAAAGCAAGTTTTTCTAGTTCTGCCAAGTAAAAACCAAAGGTGCCAACAACAGTGACAGCTGTCGATAATATCAAGACTTTCAGACGTCGGACTCTTACTTTCAGCTGTTCTCGTAAGGCAGAAACAGGGAACGATTATTAAATATATAAAAAAATATATTTACAAATGCAGATCTCAAGTCATTTTACAGGGTTGTGCGATTGCATTAACAGTGGACAGACGTGCTCGAACTGTTTGATTAGTAACAGCCATGATTCAAGAAGTGCTCTACTTCAAAACTAAGTCAAAGACGAGTGACTGGAGAAAGTTACTCACAGACTGGACGGCTGCGTTTGTATCGGCGCGTGACGAGGAGCCGTCTCGCAATCTTTAGGAGCTTCGTCCGAGCGTACGTACAGAAGGAAGAGGGTGACCGTGGCGAACGTTGCAGCGTTGACCGGGAAGGCCCGGAGGAGAGTGGAAGTAAGTCCACGAGTAAAAACTCGCCAGCCTTCGCGCTGGATGCTCTTCCTCGTGCAGTCCATGATGCTGCTGTACTGGTACTTTCCCCCGACGCCGTCGGCCTGGAGCCGGGATTTGATCACATCCACGGGATACGTGGAAAGCCAAGACGCGATTCCCGACATCCCGCCAGCGAACAGGAGTTTGGGAATCATGTACGGATCCTCCGGTTCGCAACCGAGCGAGCGCGTCAGGAGATCGTATGCTAGGAAGTAAACGCCGAATCCTGGCGTCTCCCGGATTAGAGTCGTGACCATTCCCCTGTTGACGCCGCGTATTCCCTCGCGCTGGTAGATGCGAGCAAGGCAATCCAACGAGTTCTTATACACTTTCCGTGAGGAGGACTTCTTCTCGCCCGTCCCTTGCATCTGCATTCGGGTTTTGGCCAGCTCCATCGGGCAGCAGATCACGCACTGGATGGTGCCGGCCGCCGCTCCGGCGAGGAACTGGTTCAACGGCGTGTCTTCGCCCAGCCTGCGCATGGTGTTGCCCTGCACGCCGAACACGATGGCGTTGATGAAGGTCAGACCCATCATGGGCGAACCAATGCCTTTATAAAGGCCAGACATCTGCGGGAAAGGGGGAGCGTAATGTCAAGTCTTTAAAGCTGCAGTCCGTAGCTTTTTTTGGGTTAAAAATTATCCAAAATACATATTTGATAAAATACATAACCAGCCAGTGTTCAAAACTATCTGCTTGCCTTAGCTCGATGCAAAACGGTAAGCTTGTAATAATGTTTTTAATTTTAGTGGTACTGGTGGATTTCCGCGGGAGATTCGAGCATGTCTTTGCGTCATTACGTCACATCTGTACACATAAAGAAGGAGTCTCGGCTAGTATAAGCTATATTGCGTGTGAGGATGTTGGAGGTAGAGATTTATAGCCTTTTCTCACAGCACTTGATATAATTAAACTTATCAATTTGATGGCGGATCCAGAAAGGTTCAAACGACGATCATCATCAGTGACGACTAGAGACTCACCCGCTGTAACATGCAAAAGACTTCGTTCGGACTTCGGAGTGGCTACAGAAAAAAAGAGACTGCAACCGGACCCATGCGAAAACAAGGATAATATCGGAAGGACATTACATGATGTAGTCACGCAATGCTTGCTGACGTTGTTAACATTAACAATTTGAGAACATAGTATAGCTACTTTGCACGGTTTTGCGTGAAATGATAACTTATAAGCAATTGTTAGATTTAATCAGCGCGATTTACTGCAATGTCAGAACCAGAACAAAAGTGAATGTTTCTTACTAGTTCAGATGACATTTCCCGGTGAAAATTCTTATGTTGGTCATACTTCCAAAAAGAATAATCTGTGATTCTGAATGACAATATCCACATCGGCGCGGTGACTGACAGCTGCACACTCTCCTCAAACACTGTTCATCCGCGCTGTGCCGTGTCGAGGGTGTTGAACTACAACCCACGTAAAGTTGATAATTCCGCGAATGACTGCAATTGCAGATTTCGAACAGAGATGGCGACAAAGAGGAAAAATGCCGGACTGCAGCTTTAACAATATAGAGTTTCACAGTGATAACAGGAGATTACAGTAACACAGACTGTTATACAGAGAACTAGAATAAAGTTATTGTCCAGATAAAGTTAGTTGTGATTGAGTCACTTCTGTTGTAAAGATCATTAGTTATTAACTTAGCGGCCGCTGACGCGACACCGCTCTAGCAGAAAACCCTTAAAGCAACACTGTGTAACTTTTTTTGTTTATTCTTAGCTAAAAACACTTAGTTCTTTCAAAAATATATGTGCTCATTAATGTACATTTACTTCGTTCAAGTAATAAAGTATTCTCGTGAGTGTATAATATGCCATTGAAAACACATACGGGTAAGGGGTTCTAATGTCGGTCGCCATGTTGCCCCTCCATCTTGAAAGTACATTAGCCAAAGAGGGACATACCCGTTAATTCAAGCTTTGCCTTTCGCGTTTTAACACTCGATGGCACCGTGTCGAATGTCAAGAGAGGGATTGCTTGAGACTGATATATAAAAACCTGAAAGTCTTTTTGAAATCTGTTGCTGATGGAGGATCACTCTTATTCTCGAGGATACGTATCAGAGTCGCCAAGGAAGCGAAAAAGAGAATTAAGACGGAAAATGATATAGCCTACAATGTAAACTTTGCCTTATGCTAGTGATGTCGTACAACATACAGAATAACGACAGCACTGATAAAAGATTTACTAAGATTAGCTCGCATTCGTCTGGGAACCTGATAACTGATGTTAGCAATGAAATGGTAAAAAAAAATAACGAAAACATACAACTATTATTCATTTTACATAGATGTCATAACCTAAATGTTACCTGACAAATTAAATAACTGCAAATTATAATAGTTTTCTAAAATAACCTCATCACTTGAAGGAACACTCATGGACGAGGTCGAACTGGAAGCCGTGTTAATCTTGGACTACATTGGCCACCGTAGGAGTTAAAACGAAATCGGAATTGAGAGGAACAGAAACTAATATTCCCTGGATGGTCATTTACCTTTTCACCGCTAGATGGGGGTAAAAATCACACAGTGTAGCTTTAAAGGGATAGTTCACCCAAACATGTAAACTCTGTCAGTAATGACTCTCCCTCGTGTTGTTCAACCCCGTCAGACGTTCCTTCATCTTCGGGACACAAATGAAGATATTTGTGATTAAATCTGAGAGCTGTCTCACTCCTCCATAGGCTTCTATTGTAATTGAAACTTGCCGGAACAGAAAGTTATTAAAGACATTGTTAAAATAGTCCGAGTGACTACAGCGGCTCAACCTTAAGTTTATCAAGCGGCGAGAAATGCTGAGTAAGAAAAGCATTTTTTGCGGTGTGGTGCACATTGAGTCCACACGTCCCAGATGTGGGCCGACACTACGCTGTCTGGGAAACTCAATAATGACACTATTGTCTTTTTAGAGCCGCTTTACAGAAGAATTTTAATTACTCCTATATAGTCTTGTGAAGTTTGGTGAAGCATTGATGCTGTTATTTCCCTGTTAATTACTGTGAAGCTGCTTTGAGAGCATTTTTACTGTAGAAATAAAGGTGAATGTAGAAATAAAGGTGAATGTAGAAATGAAGGTGAATGTGGAGGCTGTGCTTCTTCCACCACAGTCGAATGTGACCTAGATTTGAAGATTTTCTCACATACGTGACACAGATTTGGGTTTTGGTGTCAGAGTGAACAGGGGGAAAAAAGTTACTAATATGGAGCTTCTTATTTCACTCAAATATACTGAATAATTCCTGAAAGTAATATAATAATACATTTAATTTATATATACACTACTGTTTAAAAGTTTGGACCTCTAACTCAGCAAAGGCTGCTTTAATTTGATCCAAAATACAATAAAATTGTCAAAATATGAAATATTATTCAGATGTAAAAAGCAGAAAGTGTAATTTATTCCTGTGATCAAAGCTGTATTTTCAGCATCATTACTCCAGTCTTCAGTGTCACATGATCCTTCAGAAATCACTCTAATATGAGGATCTGATGATCAAGAAACATTTATGGTTATGATCAATTTATCGCATCCTTTTTTTAATAAAAATATTACTTTCTTTATATATATATATATATATATATATATATATATTGTGAAAAAACGCAAGGAGCTTTACAGAAAATCATAAAGTAAATGTGTATAATATCTTAATATATATGCCTTATGGTCACATTTAGTACTTTATACAGTAAAAATATATAAATATATAATATTATAAAGCAGCTTCACAGTAAAAAAAAAACAGGAAAGTAACTGCATTAAATATGAGTCTGATTCAAACTGAGCTGTGGAAAGATACTAGTGTGATTATTCAGCTTAGTGTTGAACACATAAACATGCATGTAAACAGAAGAATGCAAGTATAAGTGTATATAAAGTGAATATAAGTGTCCACTCACGGACTCTTGCCGGATGATGGATTGGAAACAGTGAAAGGTTCCTCGGTAAAGAGGTTTATCCACACTCTGGACCTGCAGTCGAACCTACAGGAGACACAGTCTGGTTACAACAAACCTTTAGTGTTTACTTGCCTATCACAACAGATGAAGCGCATAGCATTCAAAACCACGGCTGGTTGAAGGAAAAGCTGTAGTTTCAAACTTTGTAAGAAGAAATCCTACAACAAACTTACGGTCACTGGATAAAAAAAATAATATAACAATGTATAAACCTGTAAAAAAGGTAATATACTGCGGTATACATTACCACCTATTAAAAAACAATGTAATCATTCAAATATTGTCATTTATCATTTAAATCTTGTGCCAAGTAGGTTTTTTCCAAGTAGGGCCTGAATATTCAAGACAAGCAAGCAAAATAAAAATAAGCTTCAAAACAAATAATACAGAAACAATTGCAACAAACATACAAATTGAGTGTTATACCTTTTTTTTAGGTATAACAGCAGTATTAGTAATTATATTGCAAAACATCATGTTTTTTGCATTAGATATAACATATTACATGAACAGTTGAACCAAAAATATTTTTAAAAATAAAATAATTTATAATATTGAATAAAAAATAAATTAAAGAAATAATAATAATAACAATAATAATACACACACACACAAATTTATATTTATTTATATCAAATATATTCATTCATATATATATATATATATATATATATATATATATATATATATATATATGAATGAATAAATATATTTATATAAATATATATACATCTGTGTGTGTGTGTGTATTAATTTTTCTTTTAATAAATTTTTTATTCAATATTATAAATTATATTTTTTTTTTGGTAACACTTTATTTGAAGGTGCTTGTAATAAGCAGTAATTAACAGTTAATAAGACACTTATAAGACATTATAAGATGCATATAAGCATTAACTAATGATAATAAATAAATTACATTTAATAATACATTTCTCAAGTATCAATACATTGCACTTTTAGAACAGCCGAACACACATAAGTGGTAACACTAACTCCCAGTCACTTAAAAATGGACCTTCCCAAGAGGGAGTAGTTTCCCTGATCTCTTCAGGGCCTGGACCTTTAATTAACCCTTATATGAAGTAGTTAATGCTTATATGCATCTTATAAGGTCTTATAAGTGTCTTATTAACTGTTAATTACTGCTTATTACAAGCACCTTAAAATAAAGTGTTACCTTTTTTAAATATTTTTGGTTCAACTGTTCATGTAATATGTTATATCTAATGCAAAAAACATGATGTTATATATATATATACAAATTTGCTAATACAGTGTATTTATATATATATATTAAGGACGCACAATATATCGGCCACCATATCGGTATCGGCCAATATATGAGCATTTTTAATGTTATAGTTATCGGCCTGGTAAGAAACTTTGGACGATATATTAAAGCCGATAAATAATGGATTACTCGCATCAAAAGAGGACAGACATGTGCAGCGCAAGTCTGTCCTATCGGCTGCATTACAGTATAATGAAAACAGTTCAATCGTATGTTTGGGACGTGGCTTTAGGTTTGACTTTTGTTTTTGTAATCAGGCTCTCAAAAATTACATACAAATTTGGATTAAGATTTATCGGGCAATCGACTTTTAAACAAAGAATTATCGATATCGGTGCATCCCTAATATATATTTATACAAATACATATACATAATTATTCGATATATATATATATATACATATATTTTTATTTTATTATTACACATATAAACAAGGCAATTCACATTTCACAACACATCATCCCTAAGTTAGCAGCATCACTATGTTTAGTCAGTAGCACCGGTAGTAACTGAGCACACCGCGGGTATGATGTGCTTTCACAGAATGATTTATTTATAAGTCATGTTTAAGTCACAGGGTTCAGCATGAAACGGAGATGATCGGAGTAAAGTGTCACGACAGACAACAGCCTCGCGTCGCCAAACGCCAGCCAGAAATAGCAATGATGAGCGTTTGCTGTGGTTTATAGAGGAGTCAGCAGCGGGACACGGAGGAGACGTACCTTCACTGTGTCGAAGGGATGTCCGACGAGAACACCGGCAGCTCCTGAACACACACACACACACACACAGGACTTTAGAGGATTCATGACAAAACACTGGATATTTATGTCAAACAATATTATGAAACAATTAGTGCTGGGCAACGAGTAATCGCATCCAAAATAAAAGTTTGTGTTTACATAATATAAGTGTGTGTACTGTGTATAATTTATTCTGTATATATAAATACACACATATACATGTATATATTTAAGAAAAATGTTATTTATATATAAAATATTTATATTTTTATGATGTATAAAATATATACATGCACATATTTCTTAAATATATACATGTATGTGTGTATTTATATATACAAAATAATTACACACACACACACATATATATATCATGTAAACACACACACACACACACACACACACACACACACACATCTTTGTAGGGACTCTCCATAGGCATAATGGTTTTTATACTCTACAAACTGTATATTCTGTCCCCTTACACTGCCCTTATCCCTAAACCTACCCATCACACACACACACACACACACACACACACACACTGCAGCTATCCCTAAACCTGCCCATCACACACAACTTTCTGTATTTTTACATTTTCAAAAAACATTACTTATTATGATTTATACGCTGTTTTCCTCATGGGGACCGCTGGCTGGGCCCCACAATGTAGGTGATTTCAGGTTTCACTATACTTGTGGGGTCATTTGGTCCCCACAATGTAATATAAACATGAACACACACACACACACAGACTCACATACACACAGACACACACACACACACAGAGACACACACACCATTAGATATGAGTGGCTACATACTGAACCTGCCATGAGGACCAGTGCTAATCCACATGACCGAACACGTTCACACACACGTAATCAAAACCAAAGGCGTCGGCCAGGCCTGACCAATCAGCACGCAGCATTCACTACACACTCATGTCATCAGGGTTACTGCATGATGATGCTGATATTCACTATATATTTGCTGCCGCTATGCAAATTAAAACATATTCGGAAATGTGATTCATTTCACACAGTCAATTTACCCAAATCAATCACTAATGTTCACGAAAGTCTCTGTGTGCATGGAATATTTTATGTTAAAAATATATTTAATAATGTGCAAGTAAATAGCGGTTTAGTATTGAATATCGTTATATAAAAAAAATATTAAATATAGCATTAAATTGAGTAAAAAACTGTGGAAAACGTGCTTTGCTTGTTTAAATAGATTTTATTTGTATTATATGTGTGTGTTTATGGCATGCATTTACATATAAATATATATAAATTAAATTATACAATTATTTCTCATATATATATATACACATTAACGTATTAATGCATTTATATACATACAATTATATTCTATTTTTTTTAAATTATATTCTATTACACACACATATATATATATATATATATATATATGAGAAATATAATATAATGTGTATATATATATATATATATGCATAAAAACATACAAATTATATATATATATATATATATATATATATATATATATATATATATTAAAATCTTTGCTAACCTGCACATTATGTTGTGCTGAAAGTGTTAAGGAATACGGCTGGAAAGTGATATAGATATCTGAATTATGACTGAATTCCTGTTAAGGCCGTATTTTAGTATAAACACTGGTCATAATCAAACCAAAACGAGGACAATAACTCATATTTACTGTATGTCTATCTTTAATTTCTTCATTCGGCCAAAAAAAAACAACAACAGTAAAACATGATCCACCCGACCGGTTTACCAGTGATTACTGTACTCGATTTACAGTCTCTTTCTAATGATTGGCCTTATGCATTTATCAAACATTTCTGCTTGCTATTTGGGGAATGAACCGAATGCTATGATTGGTCGAACTCTCTATGATTGATTTGTGTACTGCGCGTTCACAGAGGTTTCACATTTATGCATTTATCCAAAGCGACTTGCATTGTATTTCAAGGCACACATTTACATCCTCATCAGTTCTGTCTTTCTCTGGGAATCGAACCCATGACCTTGGCGTTGCAAGCGCCATCGCTCGACTGTTTGAGCTTCAGCATAGCTGTGTTAGCGTAGTTTAGAGTGACATATCGATCTGCACAACATCGATATGTTGTGCTGATCCACCATAATGTGTTCCAACATTTCTGAAGCACTTCATCTTGGCGTCTGTAAAATGAAACACAAGCCGATATGAAGGCGCAGCCCTCGTCCCGCCGCTGGATTGGCTCGCGCAGGGGTGTGTGTGTGTGTGTGTGTGCCGGGAGTTTTACGGGACATGGACAGGTTATTCTGGGATCTTCCGGGAAACACATTTCACAGCACTTCAAGCATGTCTGTTATTTGCACAAGAGAATAGAAGGACTTCAAGGAGGCTTGTAGGTTACATATTCATTCAAAAATCAATCATAAGCTTTCACTTAGACTGTGCCATATTCAGACAATCAGTGTGTGAATGTGTTTTCCACGACCCTGAAGGCCCAGACCACCACAGACGCCCCTGACCCGATATTCATGATCAAAGCAATCTTTTTACAGTTAAACGCTTTATGATGCATCTACATTACAATGTGCTATAAATAATAAAAAGACCAAATCTTGAGCAAATGAAACACATTGATTCCTTGAATGTGTGTATATTCGTTCAGCTATATTCTGTACATTACATTACACGTGACATCAACTTATCAAAGGTTTAAATGTAAACAGCCTTTAGAATCTTTCAGAAGAACGTTGACATTGTAACCAATTTAGAACGTCACAATCAATCAGTCACAATGTAACATTCCATTCCTTCGAACGCAGCGGAACAGAATTCCATCACGTGACATCAACCACTTCAACAAAGTATCGTTCAATACTTAACAATATATATATATATATATATATATATATATATATATATATATTTTTTTTTTTTTTTTAGGTAGCTAAACAAATATTAAGAAAAATAAAAGTTATAGACAGATAGATGACAGAATATTAATTCTTCGATTATATTAGCTCTTTGGCACATTACATAGAGCTTAATACTAGGCATTTCAGAAACACAATAAACAAAAACTCAACTATATCACGTGTCCTGCTTGACGTGGCTTCCTGTTCCACTACAAATAATTCAGCATGAGTGAATAAATCGATCCGTGTAAATTACAGAGTAGCCCCAGAGTGCAGTCTGGACGATGGGGCGGGGCGACACTTTTAGGTGGGGCGACACGTGTCGCTCCGCCCACACCCGATTTTATTGGTTTATAATACAGCAATCTTATTGGCATAGACGCTTGAGCCACGAGCATGCGCATTCTTTTATGTACGAGTTTATGAATTATCTATGACGCTGTTTGGCCGTAGTGGGCGTGGTTTCAGCGCAGCCAGTGGACACGCCCCCAGCGTTTGAGAGCAGAGATTACTGCTCATTTTTTCAAGATTTTGATTTATGTACTTGCTGGCTTTTTTTATCATTCAAATTTTGGCTGGGTGACTAATAACACATTTTTCTGTGGTGTGACAAACTCAAAACACATACTTAATTTTGACTTTACAGGGACTTTAAGTGATAACCATTGCGATTTCAGTAACGATCAATTGGATAATGTTTTGATGAACTTACGAATCAAGTTAGAGGAAGTTACTGTCAAAATGTATTCACAATTCACATCGTTTCAAAGCAGCTTTACAAAAAGTCATATTGTAAGCTTTAATATTGAGCAGTTTTATGGCTTGGCTATATCATATGTTGCTGATAAATAATACACTGTTTGAGATTTAGCCTAGCTATACTATATTAATTTACCCTACAGATAAGTCAGTGCCACTTTTGATGGGCAATGAGAATGACTGCATGAAATTACTGGCAGATCAAAGGAGAGATCATTTCTATGTGGGCTGATTTAGACAATATTTGTCCGCATGTCATGCAGAGCTCAATTAATCGTGCTTCTTCGTTTTTCCATTAGGATCAGTGAATAAACACAAACTCGGGATTTTGCACAAATTATGATAATTCCCTGTATTTCAGTAAAACAAAGGATAATCCGAAAGTGTGTTTTATTTTATTTTTATATTTATTTTATTACAGCCTGTTATAATTGCACAGATTTATAGCAGCGTGTTTTTTTATGGTTATGCAGCTAGCCTATATGTGAGTGTTAATATTTGTAACCATTTTTATCCAGTAGCCTACATGAACATGAACAGTAGCCACCATGCGATGGTGGATGAATAAACAATTGGATTTTTAATATAGCCTACTGATGTCACAGTCACAGATAGACAGTCGTACATAACCGGTTGACACACTTATTAGAAAACATGAATCTTTAAAAAATATAACATAAGGCTTTACAGAACCAATAGGCCCTCATTTTGTATGAACAGGTAATCAACCAGGAAACGTGTTTGCCATTAAACATTTTATTTGCACTTTGTACCAAATAAATAATGCAAGCATTGGACAATCTCGTTAAAAAAATGACAACAAAAAACGGTCATGCTTTAGAATTTAAAATCAGCTGCTTACATTCTTACAGTCAATTATCATCATTTGCGAGTTTGTGCTGATCCATCGATCCTGATAGAAATATGAAGAAGCCAAGTGAATGACGCACTAATCTAATGTAAAACATCTCCCTGAAGTACAAGTGGGTCACCAAGCGTTCGTTTTTAAACAATAACTTAATCTATACTGTGTCTTAAGTATAATAAAGTATTAGCCAATAGATATTAACAAAAATTACCATGGTAAACTGATAATAAGATACGATTAAAGTTAGCATTTAATTTTTCTTTGATACGGCCAAATCATTCACAAAATCGTACATTAAGGAATGCGCATGCTCAGACCTGAATCGTTTACACCAATAAGATTGCGGTATTATAAACCAATTAAATTGGGGGTGGGCGGAGCGACACGTGTCGCCCGGCCTAAAAGTGTCGCCCCGCCCCATCGTCCAGACTGCACTCTGGGGTACTACAAATTACATGACATAACTGAAGTTCAAAATAAACTTTATACACATGCATGATTAATTACTGCACTTAAACTATATGAATGACCGGATCTGATTACAAGTCTATCTACTTTGATCCATCTGCTGTGCTGGCCACAAACCCTCACGCACAGGACGAGGGTTAACAGCCCCTCTTAACGAGCTTAACCGAGTCTTAATCTACTGATTCACACAACAGACATGACATGAATGTAGTCTACTGTATCCTGCACTAGTAGTGATGTATCTTACCTCCTAAACAGCCAGCAAGGAAGTCCATCACTGCTTCGAGCTGACAGAAAGCTTCCCTAGACGAGCTCAGAGATGTGTGTCAGAGTTAGCTGTTCTCAGGCCTGTCCTGTGAGAGTTGCAGCAGAAGCGAAGCAGAAACTCGCTGTCGTGCACGAGCTCTGCGCTAACTCGAGGTCTCTAATCAGGTCGTAGTGGAAAATTTCGCCTGCTCGCTTTACCACAGCCTGCTGGCTTCTCTGTCTATTTGTGTCCGGGCTTCTGGTGTGTGTGCAGGAGGTGTGTGTGTGCGCGCCCAATCGCGACTCGCGGATTTAAAAAAGGATTCCTGTTCCTCTCTCCGGTGACTCTTTGCGTGGGCGAAGGTGTGTTGTTAATATTCACAAAGTCAATTAATTTCTATTGGATGGTTAACAAATACGTCATCACTAGGTTTTTAATATTCAGAGGCCAATCCTTCGCCATAGGAAGTTACCTAATTAATATTTACGATCTCGCCTTCGCCGTAGTAGCGCTAGCGTTTTGGGAGTCGGTTCGTTCGGATGGTTCATTTCAGTGAATTGCTCGACTGATTCGGTTTTTACTCAACAAAATGTTTCCTTGTTTTTAGATAAATAAATATGTGGTATAGTCCTGTTGTTGTCGCTATATGTTCTAGATCGTAGTTCGTCTATTAGCTTGCGCACTTCGTGCGAACGCTTTACGAATCGATTCAATAGAATCTTTCGAAAGGAATCACGTCACAAAGATTCATTGGACTCGTAATTTCTCTTCCGCGTTGCATCAGCATGTGTGTCTTCTAAAAGCGAATGGTGCAATGCGTGTACGAATCAATTCACTCTGTCTGTATGTAATCACTTCGAACTAATTAAATAAAGGTTTATTCATCAAATGCGCAACAATGGAATGCAACTAATCACCTGTTATGGAAATGAGCTCACATGATAGAAATAACAAAACCACGAGTTGTACAGTCAAATAAAGTTGAAGGATAAAATAGAGATAGCGTATTAAACATGCACGACTGCCAATAAAAAGCAAGTTTCTCATTATTGCTGTTAAATCGGAACATGCACGAAGAGCTGCATCTGTCAGCGGAACCACGTGAGGATGAGGGACTGTTACAAAAGGACTAACGCAGATCCTGCGACCTCTACGGATCTCTGCGTTACACAATTATTTATCAGAACAGAAGCAACAATAATGTCATAGGTAAAGCAGTTTCAACGATGCATTTCGCCGACTTCCTTGCAGGATCAGTGGGAGGTAGGCTATATAAAGTTTAAAGACTGTTGTTTGTCTGGTTCAATTCTCAGTTTTGTATTAGAAATGATGATTTGAGAGAATATATATGTTAAATGCTCTTGGTGTCAGTGTTTTGTTTTTGAGACAATGAGAAAATGTAGGCTATATAACATTAAAACCAACTCGGTGTTGCATTGAAGCAAGGAATAATAGCCTACATGTTATCAGTATATGGTCCATGGGAAAGAGAGAGAAACAAATAAAAACATGTAAAAGTTAATAAAAAAAAAAAAGACTAAATAAGAAGACAAGAAAAAAGCAATGCGTGACGCAGGAGAGAATTTAATATCCCAAAGTATTATTGATGAATGAATGAAAATGCACCATTGGAAATGTAGGCTATATTGGAGAGTTTCATTACACATAAAGTGCCTCAATTTAACCATTTCATGGATGCAATATTTACATACAGCAATGAATGAGATAAAACTAGTGAAACTATTCTCATCTCAATAGTTTGCCTGGGAAATGGGAATCTATTATTACACCATCACTACACGCATGTCTAAAAACTGCCAAATACTATTGTGTTTTCTTCATTTGAGACACAAAAAAATGGTTTAAGACAATGTTTAACACACTGATTATATATATATATGTATATAATAAAGCACAACTTTTATTGGTACAGGAGATCACGTGAACAACACTTAAAGTACTTGTATAACTTTGTTACACTTTCATTTTTTGAAGTGGTTTAAATAGATTATCCACATTGTCTATTTATTTTTGGATAGGAAAATAACTTTATTCTAGAGCTGCTATAAAACCAAAACAATCTCTGTCTGTTAGCCTACTTTAAGTTCCTATTATCACTGTAAAGCCACTTTGGAACAATCCTTTGTTAAAAGCGCTGTATAAATAAAGATGATTTGGATAGTGCATTTTCACATCGATGCTCACACATGACAGTTAAAGGGTTAAACTTGAGTCAAGAACACATAGAGTTATATATGAAGCCCATGGAGGGAGTGTAGAGGTATGTAAACTTAAAGGAGTAGTTCACTTTTTAAAAAACTTTTGCTGGTAATTTACTCACCCCCATGTCATCCAAGATGTCCATGTCTTTCTTTCTTCAGTCGGAAAGAAATGAAGGTTTTTGATGAAAACATTCCAGGATTTTTCTCCATATAATGGACTTCAATGGGGTCCAAACGGTTCAAGGACTAAATGACCATTTCAAATGAACAAGTCATTGACTCGAAAAAAGATGAGTTCATTTTGATGAACGAGTTCGAACAGGAGAGTTCGCAAGGCGAGCATTTGTGCCTATAAAACTTTAACTTTTTAATTTATTTTTGAAATGACCGATCGTTTCTCTAGATAAGACCCTTATTCATCGTCTGGTATCGTTTAAAGCCCTTTGAAGCTGCACTGAAACGGTCATTTAGACCTTGAACCGTTTGGCTCCCATTGAAGTCCATTATATGGAGAAAAATTCTGGAATGTTTTCATCAAAAACATTAATTTCTTTTCGACTGAAGAAAGAAAGACATGGACATCTTGGATGACATGGGGGTGAGTAAATTATCAGCAAAAGTTTTTTTAAAAGTGAATTAATACTTTAATTTACACCATTATTTTTCAATCATGTATGTATAAAAAATTATATAAAACAGATGAAGGCATAAATATGATATATTAAATGCTTTGTCAAAATCCTCAATTCGCACTAGTGTAGACAGAGGTTCTCATCTCTGTTCCTGGAGTCCAACTGTATTAAAGTCCCCCTGTAGTCAATCATTTTAACCCCGTAAAACTCATCTTTGATCACCAAAATTACTTATTTAAATGTTTTTTTTCCCCATATCTTGAATGTAACTCGACACCCTTGCCTCATTTAGTATGCGCGGTTCTATGAATATGGAAATGAGCCCTGCCTCCACTCACTCGCTCAGCTCAGAGATCCACTGGTTGACGATCACACGTTGATCTGATTGGTTACAAGGTCGTTTGTGACGTCAGAAACACCAGCGATTTCAAACCGTGTTTTTGAGACTGTCTTTGGTTCACTGCAGTTTTAAGCAGAAAATACTCAGCAATGCTGTCGACTTATGAACTTACACATGGTGTGTCTTAAAGCATATAAAAAACACCACATAGACACATAAACAACATTAAAAGCTGGATTTTCACCACAGGGGGACTTTAATATTTTGGGTGTCTTCCTTCTTTAACCCATTCACTTCAGGTCTTACACCTCCACTAATGATCTGAGTCAGGTGTGTGTGTTTATCAACAGATTGAACATGTTGAACAGAATTGGGTTAAAACTTGTTCTTTTCAGCAGCTCTTCCCAAATATTTAGTATTTCTTTTGTTCTGCATATCAATTATTGGAAACTTAAACATACAAATAAATGATATTGGTATGTGTCGTACTCAAGTGCATGATTATTACCTACAGGTGAAACTCGAAAAATTATAATATCGTGCAAAAGTTAATTTATTTCAGCAATTCAACTTAAAAGGTGGAACTAATATATTATATAGACTCATTACATGCAAAGTGAGATATTTCAAGCCTTTATTTGTTATAATTGTGATGATTATGGCTTATGAAAACCTTTTCACAATATTCTAATTTTGACTTTGGGGTTTTCATGTTGATCTGCTGTTGTTTTGCAGGAGCGTGTGGCGTTGCGGTCGGATATCCACTGGACACGGTCAAAGTAAACTCATTTCACCTGCATTATTGAACTTTTCAGCTCTTAAAGGCACAATATGTAAGATTTCTGGATTAAAATATCCAAAAACCACTAAAACAATGTTATATATTTAGTTGAGTTGTGTACTAACTGTACATTATCTCAAATGTTTCCAACAATCCAGAGAAATCGGCCGTTTTAACGAGTGTAACGGCCCTGTCAGTGATGTCATATCCGCGTTAACCTCGATTTACGCTTTTACTTTTGTAGAAACCATCAAAGACGCTTTAATGTTTTATTAGACAGATGAGCAAAACTAATCATTATAGCTCAACACAGTTAATCTTATTTTTTGAATCTCTTGTTGTTTATTGTTTTACCGCAAATCACACGTTTGTACCCAAAAAGTAAATCAGAAAGTTGTATTTGTACTGACAATAATACTGCATTTTCTCCACCATACATTGTTTTAAAAATGAATTGCATGCCATTTAACAAGAGTCATTCAGCTTTTATTAATATGATATTCTAATATCGATCTAGTTTACTGCAAAGTGCAACAAGTTACGATATAACAAAACTTTCAACGCACTCACATGTATTTTTTATGGAAGCTTGTTTCCGCCACTGAATAAAAAAAAAATAATAATAATTGCGACTTTTTATCTCGCAATTCTGAGATATAAAGTCGCAATTGCAAGAAAAAAAGGCAGAATTGCAACTTTACATCTCACAATTCTGACTTTACAACACGCAATTGCGACTTTATATCAATCAATTCTGACTTTACAACACGCAAATGCGACTTTATATCAATCAATTCTGACTTTATATCACGCAATTTCGACTTTATTTCACGCAATTCTGACTTTATATCTCGCAATTCTGACTTTATATCTCGCAATTCTGACTTTATATCAATCAATTCTGACTTTATATCTCGCAATTCTAACTTTATATCACACAATTCTGACTTTATATCTCGCAATTCTGACTTTATATCAATAAATTCTGACTTTATATCTCGCAATTCTGACTTTATATCAATCAATTCTGACTTTATATCTCGCAATTCTGACTTTATATCTCGCAATTCTGACTTTATAACCTGCAATTGCGACTTTATACCTCGGAATTGTGAGATAAAAAGTCGCAATTTTTAAAAAAAAATTTTTTATTCAGTGGCGGAAACAAGCTTCCATAAAAAATACATGTGAGTGCGTTGAAAGTTTTGTTATATCGTAACTTGTTGCACTTTGCAGTAAATTCTGACTTTATATCTCGCAATTCTGACTTTATATCAATAAATTCTGACTTTATATTTCGCAATTGCGACTTTATATCAATCAATTCTGACTTTATATCTCGCAATTCTGACTTTATATCAATCAATTCTGACTTTATATCTCGCAATTCTGACTTTATATCACACAATTCTGACTTTAAATCTCGCAATTCTGACTTTATATCACACAATTCTGACTTTATATCACGCAATTCTGACTTTATATCTCGCAATTCTGACTTTATAACCTGCAATTGCGACTTTATACCTCGGAATTGTGAGATAAAAAGTCGCAATTTAAAAAAAAAAATTTTTTATTCAGTGGCGGAAACAAGCTTCCATAAAAAATACATGTGAGTGCGTTGAAAGTTTTGTTATATCGTAACTTGGTGCACTTTGCAGTAAATTCTGACTTTATATCTCGCAATTCTGACTTTATATCAATAAATTCTGACTTTATATCTCGCAATTCTGACTTTATATCACACAATTCTGACTTTATATCTCGCAATTCTGACTTTATAACCTGCAATTGCGACTTTATACCTCGGAATTGTGAGATAAAAAGTCGCAATTTAAAAAAAAAAATTTTTTATTCAGTGGCGGAAACAAGCTTCCATAAAAAATACATGTGAGTGCGTTGAAAGTTTTGTTATATCGTAACTTGGTGCACTTTGCAGTAAATTCTGACTTTATATCTCGCAATTCTGACTTTATATCAATAAATTCTGACTTTATATCTCGCAATTCTGACTTTATATCAATCAATTCTGACTTTATATCTCGCAATTCTGACTTTATATCTCGCAATTCTGACTTTATAACCTGCAATTGCGACTTTATACCTCGGAATTGTGAGATAAAAAGTCGCAATTTAAAAAAAAAAAATTTTTATTCAGTGGCGGAAACAAGCTTCCATAAAAAATACATGTGAGTGCGTTGAAAGTTTTGTTATATCGTAACTTGTTGCACTTTGCAGTAAATTCTGACTTTATATCTCGCAATTCTGACTTTATATCAATAAATTCTGACTTTATATTTCGCAATTGCGACTTTATATCAATCAATTCTGACTTTATATCTCGCAATTCTGACTTTATATCAATCAATTCTGACTTTATATCTCGCAATTCTGACTTTATATCACACAATTCTGACTTTAAATCTCGCAATTCTGACTTTATATCACACAATTCTGACTTTATATCACGCAATTCTGACTTTATATCACACAATTCTGACTTTATATCACGCAATTTCGACTTTATATCACGCAATTCTGACTTTATATCACGCAATTTCGACTTTATATCACGCAATTCTGACTTTATATCACGCAATTTCGACTTTATATCACGCAATTCTGACTTTATATCACGCAATTGCGAGTTTATTTCACGCAATTCTGACTTTATAACCTGCAATTGCGACTTTATATCAATAAATTCTGACTTTATCTCGCAATTCTGACTTTATATCTCGCAATTCTGAGAAATAAAGTCAGAATTGCGAGATAAAAAGTCGCAATTACCTTTTTAATTTTTCATTCTGTGGCAGAACCAAGCTTCCATAATTTTATTATGATTGTTTTGATCGAGTGAAACAGCGCTGCGTTACCCAACTATTTAAATTTATCAAACAAAGTGACATGAATGAATAATTCAGCCTGTTTCATTAGTATAAAATAATGTAAATTTAAGTGATCAACCATAACAAAGTTCAAGTTCGGGGAAGAAGGAGGTGAACGTTTAATCCCAACTTTAATCGTAAAATAAACATAAACAACAAAGCGAAAGGAGCGGCAACTGCACTATATAAGAGTTATAAAAATGTTGCGTTTTGCTTCATACCACAATAACGTTATAAAACTTTAATACATTCACTTATTCACGAGTCATAGTCAAGCCAGAGCCCGTCTACAGTGGCCACTCCCTGTTAAGTCCTATTGTACCGAATTGTGTTTGTAGTTCCTCCAGAGTTCCACTGGGGGCGATCGCCGAGTGCGTGAGTGAATGCGAGTCTATGGAGCTAGGCGGCTAAATGTGTCTCTCTCACCCGATTGCCGTTGAGAAATCTCAGATTTTATTGTAGGTTTTGCAAGTTCAACATGGGTTATTGGGCGAAAGTTGAATGAATGAGTACTTATGTCCTTTTGATTTCTTCCAGGTTGAGTTGTTGTTGCCCATAACACGCTAGCATTCTGCTAATGGACGCTGGTTGGTCAGTGAAGGACTGATTACGGCCAGAGACACCGCTTGATGGCATCGTGGCATCCGGATTTAGTTTTACAGAAACTCTTCTAGCTCGTGTGTTTACCTGTGTCCGCTGTGTCGAGAGAACAGAAAGTGCAGAGCGCGAACGCACCGAATTGACTGAAGGATTGCCGTAAAGCAGTATCTCTGGTCGTACGATGTGTGTGACGTCATTGGCATTTTAAAAGACTTTTTAAAGCAAATAAGTGACTCTAAAAAATCTAACACCCAGTAATGTGTAATTTCTTTGCATTTCGTTTCGAATACAACATTCAAATTACTAGACAAAAAAATGATATCCTGAGAAAAGTGTATTTTGAGGGGCATATCTCCATAGACCTCCATTCATTCTGCACTCGTCCTGTGAGCGCCCCCATGTGGAGCCGGAGTGGAACTGCAGCCAGTTCAGGAGCCGGACGTTTACTGAGAGTGGGAGTTCTCCACTTATTACACACTCTCTGGTCAAGCTCATTCACGGCATCAAGTTATGCTTTTGTTTTGAATAAGCGACCTCTAGTGGCGAAACTTACACACTGTGCCTTTAACCTCAGACATGAATCATGGTGATTTCACACACTTGTTGCTGTTTTAGCATGTCCTCCAGACTTGAGTGTGTGTGTGTGTGTGTGCGTGTGTGTTGGACTTCTGCACAGGTCCGGATCCAGACTCAGAAACAGTTCACGGGAATCTGGCAGTGCATCGTAATGACCGTCAAGAAAGAAGGGGTGAGAAATTTACATTTGTGTTTAATGTTTAGTGCATCTTCCTAACGTCATTCCTGTGATGCAGTGTTATTAAAGTATCTTTCAGATAATATTAGTTTGAATTAATTTCAATTGAATTTTAGTAATTTTCTTTTTGTATTTTTATTCTTTTTTTAAAAATATGTCTATTGTTTTATAAATTTAAAGTAACAATTTTGTGGGTTACACTTTATTTTAAGGTGTCATAGTTACAGTGTAATTATATATTTAATTACTGAGTAATATTAAGCAACTACATGTATACTATAGGGTTAGGGTTTGGTTGAGGGTTAGTTGCATTATGCATAATTTACTGTTATTACTATGGTAAGTACGTGTAACATATGTAACAAGGACACTGTAAAATAAAGTGTTAGCATTTTTTGTAATGGTTTTACAGTAGTTAACTATAATATCCAGTGCTGGGTAGTAATTGATTACATGTAATCTGGATCATGTAATCAAAAATGTACTACTTGTGGATTTCATGATTGCATATTATTCACACAATGGCAGTAAATTATTCCTCATTCATTTGATTCTCCCAAATTCAGTCACAGGGTCCAATTCTCACTTTTAACTATGACTTGTGCCTCAATAAACTCTTAATGCTGCCTATTAATCGTTAGTAAAGTAGTTTAGGTGTGGGGCGGGTTAAGGGATGCATATGATCATGCAGAATAAGGCATTAATATGTGCATTAAAAGTACTAATAAACAGCAAATTATAAATAGCATGCTAGTAAGCAACTGGTTAAATAATGAGAATTGGACCCTCAACTAAAGTATTACCCATAATTATTCTTTTTACCCAAATTTTCTTTGTTTTAATGTATAAATGTGGTACACAATAATCCCATTCTAATCTAAGTCATAAATGAGTAAAGTCAAAAGTAATCAAAAAGTATTCAGAAACATTAGCATGTGTAGTTACATAACCGTTGTTTTTTTTTTTTTTTTTTTTTAAACGTTTTTTTTTTTTTTTTTTTTTACTTGGTAAAGGTGAACATATACATTTTTCACAAATACAACATGTGAAATACATATTTCAAATTTTTTTTTTTTTCATCACAATAAATGTAAAATTTAGAGTGTTTCCTTTAAAAAGAGACCAAACTTCAGTCTGTGATTCATTTTCAGGTACACTGTCAAAAAGTGAATAAATGGATTATAACTACTGCATAAGTATAATTTAGTACCATAAAATCCCCTAAAAATACAAAATATTAAATAAAAAACATAATCTAAAAAATATATATATATATTTTAATGTAAATAAAAAAATTCTTTCATTTTTGACCGATACGCGAGCACTACCAGAGGGTTAAATAAGTAATCTAGATTAAGTTACTAACTACAATTTTTGTCATGTAATCAGCAACTTTACTTGTATAGCATTAGCACATTTATGAACAACAGACGCTGCTTTACAACAGCGACTACAGTTCGCTAGTACTGATGATGATAACCCTGTGAATGCTCAAGTGTCTGCATATAATAACAGAGATGTGTATTTGTGTCCGGATGTTGCTCTGGTGTGTTTGCTCCAGGTCCAGGGCTTCTTTAAGGGAATGGCTTTGCCCGTCACCACTATATCCATGACCTCGTCCGTGGTGTTCGGCACGTACCGGAACTGTCTCCAGTGTCTCGCTCGGCTCCGCGGGACCGGCGCGCACAACTCCAAACTGGACATCTTCCTGTCCGGCCTGGCGGGCGGTGTGGCTCAGGTCAGGCGAGCGAGTGCTGCTCTTCGCTCTCTTTACACACACACAGTATTTTAAATTTTTTTTAGTGCTGTCAAACGATTAAAATATTTAATCGCGATTAATCGCATTAATGTTATAGTCAACTCGCGATTAATCGCAATTAATCGCACATTTTTATCTATTCTTAATGTCTCTTGATTTCTTTTTGTCCCATTATTTTTTCTCATTTTAATGCTCTTATCACCATGGAAAAGTGAATCGGCTTGCTTTGTGCAAATGTTTTTTATTGAAAACAACATTGGCATATACTGTTCAATTTCACACTAACATTCTCACTTGGAGCAAACAATCTCTCAATGTAACACTGTCCATCAATAAAAGGGTGAAAGAAATACTGACGAGGTCCTGATATTGACGAGGGGGCGGAGAATTCGCATCAGCTGTGTGTGTGTGTGTGTGTGTGTGTGTGTGTGTGTGTGTGTGTGTGTGTGTGTGTGTGTGTGTGTGTGTGTGTGTGTGCTTGGCCATCATCAGTGGTGTTTCAGACTGGACGTGCTGCGATGATGATAGCTCAGTTCACAACGACAAAACACACAGATCACTTTGGTCTCGTCAATGGAACCATTCGGCAACTTTTTAAAAGTAAACTTTCCATTCAGAATCTTATTGGCGTCCATTTCGGCGTCTCGCGCTCGTCATCCACTCAAAGCGTAACGTTAAATTACTATTTGGCCGGCTCGCAAGCCCAAACGAGTGTGTATGTTTTGTTTCCGGTCTAGCTAGATCCGCTTGCGCTTTGGTCGACGAAGCAACAAAACGTCCTCGCGCGGCGCAAGCCATTGAAATGAATGGGTTTCAAAGCGCCGCACCGCGTCCTGTTGCAGAAGCATGTGAAGAAAACTACAAAGTTTGCTAGGCCAAAAAGACCGTTAATCGCGCAATAAAAAAATTAACGCCATTAAAATGGGTTTGCGTTAACGCCGTTAATAACGCGTTTAACTGACAGCCCTAGTTTTTTTATTTACTTTATCGGAATGGTACGAAGGTTTTGGCACTTGCTGTGTGAAAACACAAGAAAATCATGGACATGCTTCGAAAAGCTTAAAGGGAGAGTTCACCCAAACATGACAACTCTGTCAGTAATGACTCTCCCTCGTGTTGTTCAACCCCGTCAGACTTTCCTTCATCTTCGGGACACAAATGAAGATATTTGTGATTAAATCTGAGAGCTGTCTCACTCCTCCATAGGCTTCTATTGTAATTGAAACTTGCCGGAACAGAAAGTTATTAAAGACATCGTTAAAATAGTCCGAGTGACGACAGTGGCTCAGCCTTAAGATTATCAAGCGACGAGAATACTTTCTGTGCGCAAATTGAATTGCTACTAGTAAAAATGTTCTCTTTTGATATCTGAACATGTATTTCTGATATCAATATAATTTCAGATATCTAAAATGTCTTTCTTACTAGTAACAATCACATTCACGATATCAGAAATTAACATCGTCACTAGTGAAAATAGAATTATTGATATCAATAATGAACATTGTTACTAGTAGCAATTCAACTGTTGATATTAAGAATAAACTTTTGCACTAGTAACTATGTAATTGTTGATATCAAAAATAAAGTTTTTTAGTAGTGAGAATTGTATTTCTGATTTGTGATGTTGGAATTTCAATTAGTAAGAAATCAATTCTTGATATCAGCAATTGAATTTGAATGGTGACATTTTACTAGTTAAAATACAACTACAGATATCAAGAAATATAGTTTTTAGTTGAAATTCAATTGTTGATTCATATCCTGAAATTTTGAAACCTCAAATTTTGAACACAACTTTAGATTTATGGCTTTGATTTTCTCGCAGTTTTAGAGTAAAATGTGTTTTGGAAATTATATATGTCATATACCATTTTTATTTTTCAAATGTAAAATTTGTTAAAAAAAAGTTCACTTTTTAAAACTTTCTCGGCAATAATCTGCTGAGTGTTTCATAAAACTGCAGCTTGAAAATATAATAAACAGAATGATATTGTGCAGATGTGAGCTGGTGTGGACACTAAAACGTTTTAGTTATCTTTATAGGTATCTACCTTGGTGTGAACAGGCTTAACTCATTCTAATGGACTTAAGATGTCTGTGACAACGTGATTTGCAATAAAACTGACTCACAAGAATTATAATAAAGATAACCATAACAAGTATATTAGCACTCACACCACATCGTTCTGTTTATAATAAGTCGCCTGTCGCTTTAAATGCTCGCGCTCTTTAAAGCAGGATGGGCTCTGATTGGCTGTCAATGTTTTTATCGTTCATCAGCTGGAAAACAAATCGTTCTGAAAGTGATTCCAATGTTTTTTTTCCTTCTATATTCTGTGAACAATGAGTTGGTAAATTTTGTGTATTATATTTAACGATATACAGTCAAACCAAAAATGATCCAGACACCAGATATCATTTTTTATATTGTTTCACTAGTGTGTGCAGGACACTATAGCTCATTTATGTAAGTGAGGAGAGCAAAATAAAGTAAACTGTGACATATTACACACAAATATTCCTCATACAGTGACTAATATGGGAGCAAATATTACTCCTCCACTTTGAGCTGATGATGTTTTGCTGAAGTGTGTTTTCTGTAATTGCTAATGCTCTTTTTACACACACACTGAACAACATGAAGCATTGCTTGGTCACTGTTGAGCTAAACTGGTATTCTCTAATTGTGTAGTTAAATTTAACAGCTGACAGATATTCAACATAATTCATGTGTGAGAGTCTAACAGAAGGACGGACAAAACCAGTCAAATATCCACTGAGTTCTGCTCATGTTTATCACCACTATAGCGGATAAACTGTGATGATGTGAGGAATGTTGAGGGTGTGTGAGGAAACTTTGGTTTGGCTGCGCCGCTATACTACAGTTGCGTTGTTACGATTTTTAAAACCATATTTTTATTGTGTTTTCCCTCAGATCTCTGTAATGTCACCGGGCGACCTGGTGAAAGTCCGTCTGCAGTGTCAGACCGAGAGCCGGCGCGGTGGATTGAGTCACGGGAAGCCCCGATACCGCGGGCCGGTCCACTGTTTGCTGAGCATCGCTAAACACGAGGGCGTTTCGGGGCTTTACCGAGGAGCGCTTCCTCTGGCCTTCAGAGACGGGCCTTCGTTCGCCACATACTTCCTGACCTACAACACACTGTGTTCCCGACTCACGCCAGCGGGACAGACGGAGCCCGGTGAGTGCACACACTACACACTCCAGCCGGTTAAACCTTCACACTCTGGAAAGGCCCTTGCACACTGAGACTGAAATGTTCGTAGGGCTGGGCGATAAAACGATAACGATAATTATCGCGATATAATTTTTCTCGATAAAACGATATCAAGAGGTCGATAAATGTTCGTATGCGCCAAAAGCGGAACGAAACTCATTTGAACCGCGCGCGCCTCACGGACCGTTTATCCGCTCGGCTCAAAGTCCAAACGGCAGCGCGAGCTCACTAGAGCAGACGCGTTTACTCTGATCGTCTCGCTCACGACTCGAGATCCAGTGAGAAGCGCTTGAATTCAGCAAAGAACACAAATGTCCAGTTTAAAGGCAGATGAAACACCGCTGACAAACAGGAGAAACACTGCGCAACGATACAGTCAGAATGCCTACCATGGATTTACTGTAAGGTTAGCCTAGTAATATTAACTGCACCATGAAATGTGGGATATACATATTGACTTGTATTATATTAATAATGTAGACAATGTATTAAATGTCTAATGGAATATAATTACAGTATTTAATAATGTATTTAACTGTTAGGCTACTGTTTTTCATACAAAAACCATAGAAACCATAAAGTTATATTTTGCCATGATAGTGAAGTGCTAAGTTATAGGCTATGCCTGGTTTTATCTGTGGATATCATGATCTAAACGCATGATGCTGGATGACCAATGGTTCATTTTAATAAAACGCAAACATAAAAAAAAATGCAGATTTACTGTCAACTCACTGTCAAATATGCATTTCGAGACAAAACATGTAATTTGAATATTGCAGGCTGCACTGCAAACTTGCTGAAGAAATATTTTTTCTATTCAGATATTTATTTTGTTTAGGAAAAATGACAAATGTTTCAATGTTCTACCTCAGATTTGTGAAATGTTCACCTGTTTGGCAATATGTTCTGACAATAAAGAGTAGTTTAAAACCACAATTAACGCTCTGGTTTCTACAACTTTCACTTAGGAAAAACAACGAAAATCTGCCTTTAAACTTGAAAGAAATAAAGATTTGACATTTATCGTGATAATTATCGATATCGACTGATATAAAAAAATTATCGTGATAATTTTTTTTGGCCAAATCGCCCAGCCCTAAATGTTCGTATGCGTTTTTCCGTATTCGTGATTCGCTGGCACTGAATTGTCAAAACACCATTGAAACTGCTTGAGCTACGGATGCGAAAAACGCAGAAAATCGAACCCGATCCAAATTTTTTTATGACGGACGAAAGTTTCGGAGGCGTGATCGACATTACGTGAGGTCGTATTTATTTTTTAACGTGCAAACATTTCGAACGCGAATTTCGGACTCGGTGTGCAAGGGCCTTTACACATCCTACCCTTGCGAAACCCTAAAATTATACTTACGTTTTTTTGTCCAGAAAGCTTATTTTATTTCAATTTGATTAAAAAAAAATCTATTTTTTAATGTTTTTTTTTTTTTTTTACCTTTAAATTATTAGATTTGAGCAATAAATAAATAGTCATTTAAGCACATTCCTCACATTCTTTCAACTTAAATTTAAAATAACTCACAATTTCATGGATAACCCTTTTAATTCAGCTCTAAATATCTTACATTGAGTGTTTCTGCCGACCTCTTGTTGAAAAATTAATAATATAAGATGATATTTCATAACTCTAGATGGGCTTATAGCTCTATATGGAGCATGTTCCTCTGGGTCCTAAAGTCAGTTCACTTCAGTGTGCATTCACATACACATGTAGATATTATAAAATAATTTTTTGGTAAAGTTTTAGCATTTTTAGTTTGCATTTTGAGCATTTTTAGGGTTTTCTATGTGAACTGAAGCATTCCTCGCATACCATTCATTCCTAAGGGGGTCAAACTGAGGATTTGATACTTTTTTTAATTTCAACCACAAAACTCCTCGAATCCATTAAATAATTTGTGTATTCGTGGTTCAAATACGACAAAGGTCCTGGGGTCTTGGACCCCTCTGATGAACACTCTTTTTTTTAAATAAAAAATAAATAAATTAGTTTCAGGTCAAAATGACCAGAGGGAAGGACGAACGAGGGTTAAGACATTTATTTATTCCGTGGAAAACTCTTTTACAGAAATATGAAATATAGTGAGTGATCTTACAATCTAGAAAAACACCCTAAATACTAAATCATTGTCATTATACACTGCCGTTCAAGAGTTTTGGATCGGTACGATTTTTAATGTTTTTGAAAGAAGTCTCTTCTGCTCACCAAGGCCGCATTTATTTGATCTAAAATACAGTTGAAATTGTGAAATATTATTCCAATGTAAATCATCTGTTTTCTATGTGAATATACAGTAAAGTGTAATTTATTCCTGTGATCAAAGCTGAATTTTCAGCATCATTACTCCAGTCTTCAGTGTCACATGATCCTTCAGAAATCACTCTAATATGAGGATCTGATGATCAACAAATATTTACGATTATCAATGATGAAAACAGTTCACTGAAATTGCATAAAAAAGTTATTTTTGATCATTCAGAGGCAGATAAATGTGCATGTCTAATATGATACAGGGTTTATAGAGATAAACATGCTGATCTAGAACTTTATGAAGTAATAGTCTCTGTTATGCATGTGATAACGTCACAGAAACTGTTCTGCTTGATGTTGTCAGAGTGGAGTTGCAGGAATGGCCGGCTGCTCGGGTTTAGTCTGGACTGGTCTGGTTTAGTCTGGTCTGATCTGGTCTAGTCTGGTCTGATCTGGTTTAGTCTGGTCTGATCTGGTCTGATCTGGTTTAGTCTGGTCTGATCCGGTTTAGTCTGGTCTGATCCGGTTTAGTCTGGTCTGATCCGGTCTCTGTGTTTGTGTTGTCAGAGTGGAGTGTGGTGCTGCTGTCCGGTGGAGTCGCAGGAATGGCCGGCTGGTCTGGTTTAGTCTGGTCTGATCTGGTTTAGTCTGGTCTGATCTGGTCTGATCCGGTTTAGTCTGGTCTGATCTGGTCTAGTCTGGTCTGATCCGGTCTCTGTGTTTGTGTTGTCAGAGTGGAGTGTGGTGCTGCTGTCCGGTGGAGTCGCAGGAATGGCCGACTGGTCTGGTTTAGTCTGGTCTGATCTGGTTTAGTCTGGTCTGATCTGATCTGGTTTAGTCTGGTCTGATCTGGTTTAGTCTGGTCTGATCCGGTCTCTGTGTTTGTGTTGTCAGAGTGGAGTGTGGTGCTGCTGTCCGGTGGAGTCGCAGGAATGGCCGGCTGGTCTGGTTTAGTCTGGTCTGATCTGGTTTAGTCTGGTCTGATCTGGTCTGATCCGGTTTAGTCTGGTCTGATCTGGTTTAGTCTGGTCTGATCCGGTCTCTGTGTTTGTGTTGTCAGAGTGGAGTGTGGTGCTGCTGTCCGGTGGAGTCGCAGGAATGGCCGGCTGGTCTGGTTTAGTCTGGTCTGATCTGGTTTAGTCTGGTCTGATCTGGTCTAGTCTGGTCTGATCTGGTTTAGTCTGGTCTGATCTGGTCTGATCTGGTTTAGTCTGGTCTGATCTGGTCTAGTCTGGTCTGATCTGGTCTAGTCTGGTCTGATCCGGTCTCTGTGTTTGTGTTGTCAGAGTGGAGTGTGGTGCTGCTGTCCGGTGGAGTCGCAGGAATGGCCGGCTGGACTGTCGGGACGCCGATGGACGTGATTAAAGCTCGTCTTCAGATGGACAGGAGATATCGAGGACTCGTCCACTGCATCACAGAGACCCTGAGGAACGAGGGCCCCGGGGTTTTCTTCAGGAGTCTGGGGATAAACTGCTTGCGTGCGTTTCCCGTGAACATGGTGGTCTTCGCCGTGTACGAGGTCAGTGTCCGTGTGCTCAGGTCCCCGGCTCTGGATCAGCTCTCATGATCACATTATGTTCTTACTGTATTCTCATGTGCATCAACATCATGCAGAGGACTGCATTTTTTTGCATGAAATTATGATTTTTTGGGTAACATTTATTTTACAGTGTCCTTGTTACATATGTTACATGTACTTACCATAGTAATAACAGTAAATTATGCATAATTACATGCAACTAACCCTCAACCAAACCTTAACCCTATAGTATACATGTAGTTGCTTAATATTACTCAGTACTTAAATATATAATTACACTGTAACTATGTCACCTTAAAAATAAAGGGTTACACTTTATTTTAAGGTGTCATTGTTACAGTGTAATTATATATGCCGTAGTTAGTTACATTGCACTTATTCAAATAATACTGAGTAATATTAATTAAGCATGAGCTTACTATACAGTTCCGGTTAGGGTTTGGTTTAGGGTAAATTGCTTCTAATTATGCACTAATTACTACATATATATGCATGTAGTAACTACGCCACCTTAAAATAACGTGTTACCAATTGTTTTAAATATTTTGCACAATGTATTTAAAAAACAAAGCAAGAATTAGTTATATTTTATCCCCAAATCAAAAGGAAAAAATATATTTTTATTAAGATATTTTGCATGATATAGTATTATGTAGTGACTAATTTATTAGAATAAGAATAACTGTATTACCATTAATGGAGAGTAATTAAAATGTCAGAACTCATGAAGCAATAATTGAGGTAAAATTGTCACCAAAATAATCTCTCAATGCACCCCAAAATCAAAACAACAAATATTGTATCTTTAAATAAGATGCATGATGCATTATTGACTTTACACTCTAAAAACTATTAATATTTAATTAATAAGAAGCTACGAGCAAGAGTGTCAATCTGATATCGATTTTATACAACAGTTCAATAAACAAGTTATTGTGTTTTTGCTGTATTTCCCCAATGAGAATAAATCTAACGCAACATTTATGAATGAACATGTCAAACGTAGTCAGTTTGCTTGTTTTGTGTTTTATTGTTAAATGGTTTGTGTTATATGTTGCCGTTACCCGGGTTGCTGGGATCTGTACATTGTGGATACTTATATATCTTTGATTTATTTTGTTTTGGTACTGTTGTTGTTTTTGTGGTTTGATACTGTTTTTGGGACGGTTTACTTGTATATATTTCTTCACTGCTGGATTGTTGGATTTTCGGTGCACTTGTAAATAAACACCATCATACTCTGATGAGTTATTACGGGTTGATCATCATTTTTGTGTATTTTTTGGAGTCGAGGTGACCCAGTCCAAACGTCTACAGCATCACATATTTAAAGAGATAAAACACATTTATAAAGAGACTATTTCGAGTGAAATATGAGATAACATTCTTAAATAATAAAGTAATATCAGTTGCATTGCATGAAATGTTTTTGTCTCTTGTTTTCATATGGTGGGCTCGGACTGTCAGTTCATGCTTACTTTCACAGAAACAGAGCTACTAATATATAAAACATAAACAAACAATTTGACATCACATGACACACTGGTAATTTAGAGACAATAAATGCTGTTCTTTCCATCTTACTATAGGGCTACTTATTAAATATTTATCATCTGCTGGTTAATGGCGCCATCTAGTGGCTTCTAGAGGTCACACACACACACACACACACACACACACACACACACACACACACACACTCCTGTCTGTCTGTCTTGATTACACTGTTTAAGCCGTCACATGAAAAGTTTTGATGGACTTTATTGTGTTTGTGTCGAGCCGGCGTGATGTTTCCACTGGACTAAAGGCTGCGTGTGAAAGTAGCTTTTGTTGAGTTTAGGGGAAGGAAACCGCCAGGAATAAAATCTAAATCTCTTGAGCTAAACCGTTCAAAATCCCACCCAGTTAATCCCAAGCACATAAAAAAGAAGACAATTAGAGCATTTTGCATTCATTTGGAGAAATATTACATGCTGTTACAAAGCTGTATGCGTGTACAGAGTCACTAGATAATAAAAAAAGTTCACAAGACCAACTTTGACATTGGCTTGAAAAAGCCTGATCAGAAAGTTTGAATAAGTTTTAAAAGCTTGAAGTTTGAAGGTTTTCAGATGGATGGATAGACAGACAGATAGACAGACAGTCAAATGGAAAGAGAGACAGATAGATAGATTGATAAATACATAGACTATCTATCAAACAATCTATCTATCTATCTATCTATCTATCTATCTATCTATCTATCTATCTATCGGTCTGTCTGTCTGTCTGTCTATCTATCGGTATGCCTGTCTGTCTTTCCATTTGTCTGTCTATCTGTCTATCTATCTATCCATCCATCTTCTATCTATCCATCTATCTCTGTCTGTCTGTCTGTCTGTCTGTCTGTCTGTCTGTCTATCTATCTATCAGTCTGTCTGTCTGTCTATCTATCTATCTATTTATCTGTCTGTCTGTCTGTCTGTCTGTCTATCCATCTATCTATCAATCTATCTCTGTCTGTCTATCGATCTTTGTGTCTGTCTGTCTGTCTGTCTGTCTGTCTGTCTGTCTATCTATCTATCTAACATGTTGCTAGCATGAATTCCCAGGTTTTAACATTGCTAGCATGAAGTAGCATTGCTGTTAGCATGTTATAACGTTGCTAGCATTTCTCAAGCCAACAGAATTATAACATTTAAACAAAAAATGATTGTAAAGTGCAACCGGAGCACAAAGTAAGCGAGAAAAGTTATGGCACGAAAACAGCAACGAGCGACGAATGGAAAGAGGATCAAATCAAAGAGCGTCGTCACGATCAGCAGCTCGAAATCACAGCGCTTTCCCTTCGACAAACACGAGACGCGTGAACATGTATCTCTCCTCCAGGAGTTACTAACATGCTCTGAGTATCAACAATAACACCTCAGGAGTTACTAACATGCTCTGAGTATCAACAATAACAGCTCAGGAGTTACTAACATGATCTGAGTATCAACAATAACACCTCAGGAGTTACTAACATGCTCTGAGTATCAACAATAACAGCTCAGGAGTTACTAACATGCTCTGAGTATCAACAATAACACCTCAGGAGTTACTAACATGTCTGAGTATCAACAATAACACCTCAGGAGTTACTAACATGTCTGAGTATCAACAATAACACCTCAGGAGTTACTAACATGTCTGAGTATCAACAATAACACCTCAGGAGTTACTAACATGCTCTGAGTATCAACAATAACACCTCAGGAGTTACTAACATGCTCTGAGTATCAACAATAACACCTCAGGAGTTACTAACATGCTCTGAGTATCAACAATAACACCTCAGGAGTTACTAACATGCTCTGAGTATCAACAATAACACCTCAGGAGTTACTAACATGCTCTGAGTATCAACAATAACACCTCAGGAGTTACTAACATGCTCTGAGTATCAACAATAACACCTCAGGAGTTACTAACATGCTCTGAGTATCAACAATAACAGCTCAGGAGTTACTAACATGCTCTGAGTATCAACAATAACACCTCAGGAGTTACTAACATGCTCTGAGTATCAACAATAACACCTCAGGAGTTACTAACATGTCTGAGTATCAACAATAACACCTCAGGAGTTACTAACATGTCTGAGTATCAACAATAACACCTCAGGAGTTACTAACATGCTCTGAGTATCAACAATAACACCTCAGGAGTTACTAACATGCTCTGAGTATCAACAATAACACCTCAGGAGTTACTAACATGCTCTGAGTATCAACAATAACACCTCAGGAGTTACTAACATGCTCTGAGTATCAACAATAACACCTCAGGAGTTACTAACATGCTCTGAGTATCAACAATAACACCTCAGGAGTTACTAACATGCTCTGAGTATCAACAATAACACCTCAGGAGTTACTAACATGCTCTGAGTATCAACAATAACAGCTCAGGAGTTACTAACATGCTCTGAGTATCAACAATAACACCTCAGGAGTTACTAACATGCTCTGAGTATCAACAATAACAGCTCAGGAGTTACTAACATGCTCTGAGTATCAACAATAACACCTCAGGAGTTACTAACATGCTCTGAGTATCAACAATAACACCTCAGGAGTTACTAACATGCTCTGAGTATCAACAATAACAGCTCAGGAGTTACTAACATGCTCTGAGTATCAACAATAACACCTCAGGAGTTACTAACATGATCTGAGTATCAACAATAACACCTCAGGAGTTACTAACATGCTCTGAGTATCAACAATAACAGCTCAGGAGTTACTAACATGCTCTGAGTATCAACAATAACACCTCAGGAGTTACTAACATGCTCTGAGTATCAACAATAACAGCTCAGGAGTTACTAACATGCTCTGAGTATCAACAATAACACCTCAGGAGTTACTAACATGCTCTGAGTATCAACAATAACAGCTCAGGAGTTACTAACATGCTCTGAGTATCAACAATAACACCTCAGGAGTTACTAACATGCTCTGAGTATCAACAATAACACCTCAGGAGTTACTAACATGCTCTGAGTATCAACAATAACAGCTCAGGAGTTACTAACATGCTCTGAGTATCAACAATAACACCTCAGGAGTTACTAACATGATCTGAGTATCAACAATAACACCTCAGGAGTTACTAACATGATCTGAGTATCAACAATAACACCTCAGGAGTTACTAACATGATCTGAGTATCAACAATAACACCTCAGGAGTTACTAACATGATCTGAGTATCAACAATAACACCTCAGGAGTTACTAACATGATCTGAGTATCAACAATAACACCTCAGGAGTTACTAACATGTCTGAGTATCAACAATAACACCTCAGGAGTTACTAACATGATCTGAGTATCAACAATAACACCTCAGGAGTTACTAACATGTCTGAGTATCAACAATAACACCTCAGGAGTTACTAACATGTCTGAGTATCAACAATAACACCTCAGGAGTTACTAACATGTCTGAGTATCAACAATAACACCTCAGGAGTTACTAACATGTCTGAGTATCAACAATAACACCTCAGGAGTTACTAACATGTCTGAGTATCAACAATAACAGCTCAGGAGTTAC